AGTTATTTACACTCATTTATGTCGATTGTTTCACACTATCTGTATGTAAAAATTCTGTCACATTTTTGGTTGTAAGAAGCTGACGAGAAAACTCGAAATATTATGGATTCATACTATTCTGCATCAATGTTTGTTCTTGCTCTATATAAGACAGTCGTCAACATACGCATGTACGAAGTTGAGACATCGAAAAACGTCGTCTATGAAAATTTGGAAAGGCATTCGCAAAAATTCGTAGAGTCTGAAGGGAGTTATGATAATTGTTTTGAGAATATCGTCAGTAGCCATAGGGATTTGGTTATACGCTTTAACCAAGTCGATTTTCGAAAAGACAGTTGTACCTTTCAAGGTAGCTGTCAAATCGTGAATGTGAGGCAACGGGTAACGATCGGGAATGGTTTTCGGGTTCAATCACCGATAGTCACCAGTTGGACGCCAATCGTTGCTGTCCTTTTTAGGGACCATGCGCAACGGAGATGCATATGGGCTACTTGACGGTCGTATGATTCCTAAGTCTATCATATGGTCGAACTCGTTTTTCGCCAACCTCAGCTTTTCAGGAGCTAGTCGGCGTGCTTTAGAAAATACAGGTGGTCCTGTAGTCGTGATGTGATGTGTAACGTCGCTGGTTACACACGGTAATCTCGGTTGCGTTTGTCGTATCTCAGGATACTTATCGAGAAGTGGCTGATAATGTGGGTCTATCATATGCTTAATTGTGACTGGTGATAATCTGCAACCAGAGAAGGAAGTTACGCAAACGGACAAATTAGTGTTTCCGTCTACTAGCCTCCGTTTGCGAGTGTCGATGATCAGATTGTGGTGTTGTAGAAGGTCCATACCAATGATTGGCATAGAAACATCTGCAATAACGAAGACCCAGTGAATGGGTTTGCGTAAACCCCCGTTAAGGTAAACGTACCTTTTGCCATACGTAGCGATCGGTTTTCCGTTTGCCGCCTGTAAGCTTAGGGTCGATTCGTGAAGTCGGTCGTTAGGATTTGCTGGGAGAACGCTAACTTCTGCGCCAGTATCGACGAGGTAGCGAACTCTCGTTGTCACATCTGTGACGTATAACAGACGGCTATGTTCGCCGTAAACGCGTGCCGGCTTGGAAGTTTCCCGAGTTGTTTTTCGAGTCGGTCGGTTGTGAGTTTGGAAAATTGCAGGGTTTTCTGCAATTTCTGTAAGACCTTCCTTACTGGTTATGACACCAGCACCAGTCGGGGTTATCCGTCTCTCGTGGTCTAGAGACAGATCGCTTACGTGAAATGCTTCTACGTGGGTGTGTGATCGCTTACGGTCGTTACGAAAATTAAGATAACGCGTAAGTGTATGACGTAACTCTGTTATGTCATTCTGGGTTGTTTGAGGCTTTTCTTTGACTGAAAAAACCTCGGTATTAGAAGATTCAGCTAGCTCGTCTAAGGCGTTGTTCTGGGACGAGACAAGCACAGCTTGCACCTGCTGAGGAAGTTTGGACAAGAAAAGTTGTTTAAATAGGCCGTCATCGAAAGTTCTTTGGCCAGTAACCTCTCTCATTCGTTGCAACATATCCGTCGCAGAACCGTGCTGCAGGTCGATGTTATTGAAGGGTTGGTCTAAACTTTGTCGACCGCCTAGGTCTCCGCGTTTAAGAATAGAACGTTTCAGCGTTCCGTAAGGTTCATAAACATCACTAGTAAACATACTAGGTGTTACGTACCTGTTGAATTCCCGCGGCAGTGCCTTGACTACTGCGAGGAATTGTGCACGTGTGTCGATCACGCCGTGCTCGGAGAAGTCGGTTTCTGAGTAGCAAAACCAGGCCTCGATGTTGTCTGGCCAGAAAGGCATCAGCTGAAACGAAGGTGGGGACAAAGTCTTAAGCTTGAGTACTTTGGGTGTCTGTTCAGCCATGATGTAATATGAAGTACGGTAATGAACGAGGGAAAAAATATATGTATCCAAAAAGCACGAAAAATACCACAATGTTTGAAAAATTAAGATAAGGCAATGATATATAGAATCCCAAAAAGGAACAGACTTACAGTTTACGATTTGCTGTACCAGATCGTGTCGGGCTCACCAATGAAGGTGCCACAAGTATTCAGTTTTTGACACCGCTTTAAGCAGTAGCACCTAATATAACTCGTGTAGATCACCAACGTAGATGATCCATGTTGAAATGATTGGAAGGCTTCTCGAGTTAGACGTGAATGGTGTGACAAAATAGCTAATGTCGAAGTCACAACTCGTGATCAGCACCTTACGTGGACAACCCAATTGACGTATCAAGGTACCATAGATGTTTTGAAGACTGTACAACACAGAGGACATTATTACCGAGATATATTAGTTAAAGTAGATACAAGCGAAAGTAAGACCATTGCCGCATGGGCCAGTCCATGGCATACGACTAACTGATGCGCGTTGGTTGTCCCTGACCCCGACGAGGATCGATGATTTCCTCGATATTCAATGACCCAACTGCCGGATGATTTGGCTGGGGCTTAGCGACATTTCGCTGGCCCTACAATACTCACCCACCAGATGCAACGGCCGTTTGAATCGGCACCAAACACGTTGGGAGTAGTTGCGCACCGGAGATTACCAAACGATTAATATGAATCCTCTGGGTATTGCCGAACTGTAAAGCAAAATGGAAAGAAGCGGCAGAAACTGATCGGGAAAACAGCGAGTAACAATATGTTAGTACGACGTTGGTTAAACGTAAGGCAATTAACCATAGAAATAATGAAAAGAACAAAACGTTTTGCTGTTCTATCAAGTCGCGCTGAAATATATAGCTTTGACAAGTAATTGAGTACCTCCGATGAGAAACGCTAAGTTTGCCGCAAGAGTAATGATGCTATAGCGATAGTAGGATAAGTGTATTACCAATCGATGCTGATGTCTATACTGCCATTGATTTAAAGTTGTTATATCTATATTTAACAGACTAACCGTAAGTACAGAAGTATAACCGTGAAGAGTGGTCGTGATTTCGTTGTGCTAAGCTATTATTCAACCTGTAGTCTGAGTTTGAAAAGTTGATGACTGCTGTTACAGTCAGTAAAGGTCAAAGGCTACAAATCGACAGCAAAGGTGGCACGATGAAGTCTCTATAAGATGATTAAACGGTGAGTGCTGCGTGTTTGTTCGATTAGTGAACAGAAAAATATCGAAAAGAACATAAGAAACCAAGAGTGTCACTCTGGACTCATGTCAATGATACCCGTGAAAAACGCTGTCAATGTTGGGATAGAGGCGACAATGTCGTTTTCAGTTTGCAGGAGATTCGCTTGACTGCATAAACTGATGATTCGCGCGAATGATGTTGTCTTCAGACTACCAATTGAAATGGACAGGTTTTTGGTCGTCAAGTAGTTGAACAGCCGATTTATGTACCGAAATCATCTGTTAGATAACAGCCACGAGGAAACAGTGCTTCATAAAATAAAGTACGACGTCGAAGTAGAATAACTACAACAGTTAGGATGTGTTACAAAGTCAAAACTAAATAACATCGTTCTTACGTATACTGACAGTTACACCGAACGTTCGTTTAGGTATTATTAGCGTAGCAGTTGGATGTGTAAATAAAAACATATACGAAAACTATGGTTGGGTTCGTGAAGAATTTTTGAGGACGTCCAGATACTTTCCAAACCCGCATTGCATATAAATAAACCGAAAATGGAATTAAATGACTGTCGTGTAATAAGGAAATCGAGCTATGATTTACCGTGTGAAATAATAACAAATACAAGGAGTATAGTAAACATTAATTAAAATGGTAACCACCAATGTGACTAAAGTTTAGAGGGTTCAAATAACGTGGCCATTTCGTAAAACGCTAATACAAAGAGCTTATTACCTAGCGTTAAGTGACATATTAAGTACGACAATGTGTGTACTTGGGACATGGACTAAGCGTGTTCGTCTACATGCAATATGTTTTACCACAGAATGTCGAATAACGAGTCACAAATGTACATGATTTCGACTAAAACTTGACGACAGTGACAGGATATATGCCTGCTTCACGTGAAAGCAGCTACGAAATGTTATCACGCATCATAATTATAGTACGAAATAATCTAATGAAATTATGAAACTACCCTGGGTTACTCTTGCTTCTAAGTAATGAAGATGCCACAAGTATTCAGTGTTTGACAACGCTTTAACCAGTAACACTTAATATAACTCGTATCCAACGAGTGAAATCAAAAGACAGAATCGAGGAGAGTGGAAGATATATTTGATGACTATCAATATATCAAGAATCGTCTGATCTAATCTGGCTAGCGATTGAAGTAGATGTTGAGCACGGCGTTCCCACTCGTGATCTGGTGCGGATGCATGACCGAGCGTCTTCAGCTAGGTGAGTCCATTAAAACATGTGGTTAGCATCCAATGTCAAAAACTTACAGAGCTATTTATTTTGGGGATTTATTTACCGCTACAACCTCTTCACTCCGTCCTATCGCAGATTAAGGGGAGATCTAATTTTGATGCTCAGAATACCGAGAAATGATGTTGGACCTAACTTATTATTTTCTTTTCTTCCCACTAGATCGGGACATCTCAGAGGACATCGCAGGCGAGTGGAAAAGCCAAGGACGAACAAAATACTCTTGGCATACAGGTTTTCACACCGAGTCATCAATACTGGGAACCTGCTGCCCGAAGCGGTGGTGTCCGCACCTTTAATAGACTCTTTCAAGAGAAGACTGGACACGCGCACGAGCATAATAGAAGAGGAATAACATAGGCCGTAGGCTCTCTGTCCTTACTACACAAATCTAAATCTGACTGTCTGATATTGTTTAAGGGGCCCTCCAGATTTTAAAAAGTGTATTAAAAATCGTTTATCCATTTGAACGAGGACAACTTCAGACATAAATACTGTGATATGAACAATTTTTTAATTTTCTTTGGCAAAGATCGTGGATTGAAGATTGATAATGTATAACTCATACGTGGGTACTTTAGAGTACCCGTTACAATAGTGGGCAATGTCGTTCGTACCCAACTTTCCGCCTTCTCTTCTTCAACGCATCAAAAGTGATGACGCGGGTGATGAAAAAAAGAGAAGCAAAGATGACTATAGGAAGATGAAGGAACTTGAAGAGGCCAGAAAACTGGCTGTGATGCCTGCAATGAAGGATGAAGAAGGACGGGACATCAATCCTCATATTCCACAGTACATTATGCAAGCTCCATGGTATTATGGTGCCTTGCATCCGACTTTGCGGCATCAACGGATACAAGATGAAAAAAAACGTGAGGACACCTCTGGTAAAATGAAGGGTTCTAATGCTCTCAATGTTTGGTACAAACGGGGACTGCCCCAAATCAAACAAAAGGTTACATTCTACCGAGATGGAGCTTGTGAAAATTGTGGATCCATGTCACACAAGCGTAAAGATTGTCTTGAGCGTCCTCGAAAAGTAGGTGTTTTGTATCATAAGTAGTTTGTTGATATCGTTTTGGTTTCTAGTTCTTATCCTAGTCTTACTTCCATATGAAAACTTTCAAAAGTTAACCAGTATATACTGAGTTTCTGTAGTGAATTCGGGCGGTAAGGTAGAGTGAAACCAACGTAATTCTCTGTCTATAGCAGTCGAATCCTAATTATCTAGAACTGATGCATGGGAGCGTCACGTTATGTAATTAATATGATAGTCCTTTTTGTCACTATTATCACTTAGTAAGGTTCAGGTAAGCCTTTACTGAACTACTCTTTGCTTCAGTTTTCACGCAGTCTATCTAACCCTCGAATTTAAATTGCCCCATAACAGTATCTAAGGCTCCACCATTGTCATATAGGTCATATCACTTTTATCTTTTTATTATGGATTCAGAAGACTCCAAGTTCCGATTTGCAAACCTTTGGCTGGAAGTCAAACTTTTTGATCACTGAACTACTAATCCTCTATACTGACACCTACCGTTAGAGAGATTTGATGTGCAATCGCTTTTTGTATTGTCTTATGAATTTGTTACAATCCATCCAGGGAAGAAAACAATTCATCGTTCATGCAACAGAACCAGTAAGGTTTCGTCCCTTGTCCTGTTGCACTAAGCCGAAAGATGTACGACACCTAAAAATGGAAGACATACAATAGTATTTACCACAAATATTTTTGAAATATTTCTCCCAATTTGGAACTTCTAAAGTGACATTTTCATTAGTCGTACAGTACTAAATTAGTATGGCAACGCGGTTGATGCTACATATGTATACCATCTCAGGCGCGTAAGACGCGTTTAGGATTCCCAAGTATAGACTACGTACGTTTGCTTTGCTGGGTTACGCAGGAGTCGGCTCAAAGGTTCGGAACTATCAGACCAAGATGATAATAAGTTAGATGACTCAGTCAGTCAGTCAGCTACAACGTAGGACCAGGCACATATGTGCATCGGTCCAGGTTGCCATACCTCATTAGCACAGCAAGATGAACAGCGGATTCATAGGAGTGGTTAGGTCAAAGGTAGTAATATATAGGAGAAAGATTGCAATGAGGATATAGTATAGGAAGAAAGAATTAGTTCGTCGAAAGAAAGATATGAAGTGATTTTAATCTCTTAGTTTAAGGGAAGACAGGGAGTGTATACACCGACGCCATTGTGATCGATTCTGAGCCATGTCACCAAGAGTCTCCAACCATTGGTTACAAAAGTCACGCGGACCCCAACCAAGTAGTCTGCATCTACCAACATGACTCAGACTACAAGTTAGTGACTTCAAGCACTGATGCCACATTTTGGTTTGGCCGCCCCTAACTTTCTTCCAACCATCCCCTACACCGGATAGCATTGCACGTCGTGGTAATCGGTGTTCAGGCATACGTAACACGTGGCCCAACCATCTCAGTCGATGAAGATTCATAACCTCATCAACTGATTTACCATCATTACCTAATACCCTGCGTCTAACCTCACTATTACTTACCCGGTGATCCCAGCAAATGCCAGCAATATTTCTAAGGCATCTGTGGTCAAATACTAGTAGCTTACGGGTGTCCTCTACTCTTAAGGGCCATGTTTCGCTGCCGTAAATTAAAACAGAACGGACCTACTTCAATGTTCCATTCACACTGTCTGGGAATGGAGGGTAGTTGTAGAGTAGCTGAAGGCCAGCTGAACTGTTCTCTGAAATGTTCCGCCCATCGTTCTAAACGTCTGGACTGGGAGCAGATGAGAGTATCGCCTTTTTCCGAAATAATCTCACTTACACTTGACTTATTAATTCCAGTTTCTTTTATTAGTCTGTAAAGCTGTCTTGTGTTCCCTATAGTCGCCGCCTTTTCCATCTCTTTTGCTTTCATTGCCCACCACTGCTCACGGTCGTTCCTTAGACTTTTTCTTAACCTAGATCTGATTTGTTGTCGCTCTTCATCATGTTCGGAACCTGATGGGACGAGTTTGCGAGAATCCATCAGTGTGATAGACTTTGAAGAAATCCACTGGTTCTTTGTAACTCTGTGGTTTAAGTCGCTAATAGATGTCACTGCTGCTTCCACAGCTGCTTGTATGTCTTTCCAAGCAACATCTGGGTCAGCCTCGTCTTCAGAACTACCTAAGTGTGAACTCAGTTGTTCCTGGAACCTACTTTTGGTTTTCTCGTTACTCAACTCAGTTCTAATGGGTCTTTTTAATGTGGCTTTTTTGCGTCCAGTGAGGCGCAAGCAGATGCGTGCCCGTATTAGGGCATGGTCGGAGTCCAAGCAGGTACTCCAGAATGAGCGACAATCTTCTACCGACCCTCTCCAACGATGACTGATGGCAATATGGTCTATTTGAGTCCATCGTTGGTTTGGTGTAGGGGGTCGCCATGTTAGACGATGTCTCTCCTTATGCTTAAAATTTGTGTTTGCTAAAAATAAGCGATTGTCTGAGCACAGTTGCAGCAGACGGTCACCATTATCTGTTCGCTGTGCCGGAATGCTAAAATATCCACCTAAATGCCTTTCTGTTTGGTTTAAGCTACCTATCTGAGCATTAAAGTCACCCCTACGAGTACTATGTCTGAGCGTTTAGCTTTCTGAAGAAGTTCAGAAAGCTTTCTGTAAAATTCATCTTTCACATCATCTGAGCTGCAGTCAGTGGGAGCGTAGGCAGAAACGACGAAAAGGCAACGACGTGTGTCCCTATCCTTCCGAGTTCTTACGGAGCCGTTTAGCCGAACAGCACATAGACGACTGTTGACGGGGATCCACTCTAGCAGTGCTTGTTCCGCCCTCATGCTTAGTGCTATGCCTACACCTGCCAGTCCACGAGAACTGGCCATCGGGTCACCAGATACACGAGGGTGTATCTCGTTGGCTCTCCGTTTTGCCGAGGTGAGGTCAAGTGAATGACCACACTGGAATCCTGTATGCGTGTTTCGGAGACACAGCATACATCAATGGAAAGAGACTCTAGGGTTTTAGCCAAGGAAGCCTGCTGACCGATTTGACATAGGGTGCGTACGTTGAAGGCTCCAATGTGTAGTTTGGAGCGAGGTTTCAGTAGACCTGGGACAGTGTTTTGAGCACTAGAATCGTTGGCTATGGTGACACTTGAGGAGGAAGCCGAAAAGGAAGTTTAGAGTTGAAAGTCGATGTAGGAGGAATAATAGGAATTGAAGAGGAAGGTTGATTATGAATACAGTGGTCTTTAGTGCTGTTAGAGGTATGAGGGCGGTTATCACTTCCCGGTTGCCCACACCGTGGAAGGGTTCTTCTGGAGGTACCTGAAAAGGAAATTGGATTAGAGGTGGTCTCAGTGACCTGAGAGCGTGACCGCAGTGCCCAAGGGACAACTGCTTGAGGCCGGTCGCGCACGGCCTTTTCGTGAGAGGTTTGTGACGTGTTAGCTCCGTTCTTCAAAGGGCCTTACCGCCGGAGACGGAAATCCGTGAGGTAAGGTGAGGTGTGCATTTTTAGGGTCGACCTTTTCTAACCCCACCCCTCCTTGTGGGAAGGCAGCATCGCTGTCATGCTGGTTGTCTGAAGGAAACACCTTACTGCTGTCACACCTCTGTACAGTCAGCAGTACGACTTCGCCTTCGGACCTTGGGTTTGTTGCTTTTAGTCTTACCGCTCTTCAACCGACCTGTCTGACATGGTAGGACCTTGAGGAACGGTTGTTCCAGCCAGTATAGCTCGGTTGCTTCATCACGATAGGCAAGCCCGACCACCACGTCAAGGTAGCAACAACGGTCGGGAGTTAGATGACTGTCCAAAGGTGTTATTATTATGGAATCCATACGTGGGTATTAATTCATCATTGTGGTTTCTTTTTGAAGATAATACTTAGTTTATTCCGCTCTCTAGTTATTTTGTCGGTTGAAATTATGTGGACATTGGTTTATTATTTCCCGCTACTTGTAAATGTCTTTAAGAATTCACGTTAGCTTGGCCTAGTCATCTCAAAATATTTTCTACCTTTCTGCTGTCATCAAATTTTGTGATTTCACTACATTATATAAGCCTCTCAATGAAAATCACTCTTCCAAACAATTAGTCAGATTCATTTGCTTACTAACCTACTCATGTAACACCTCGTGGAGGAGCATAGGCCAACGACCATGGTTCTCCAGCCAACTCTGTCTCGGGAAATCCTTTCTGGTTGTTTGCTTTCAGCTGTTTATTCTTTTGATATCGGTTTCCAATCCCCGACACAATGTATTCTTTGGTTTTCGTCTTTTCCTTTTCCATTCAGGATTCCAAGTTAGAGCTTACCTCGTGATGCAGTCTGATGATTTCCGCAATGTATTTCTCTTTCTGACTCCCTATTCAACTGGAAGCTGGTTTGTTCTGTTATAACAGTTATCTACGCAAGATTATCAATGTTTGTTGGCCGAATACCAACGGCATCAACCTATTATTACAGAGAACAAACGATCTTCCGGCTGAATTGGGAGTCAGAAAGAGAAATACATTGCGGAAATCATCAGACTGCATCACGAGGTAAGCTCTAACTTGGAATCCTGAATGGAAAAGGAAAAGACGAAAACCAAAGAATACATTGTGTCGGGGATTGGAAACCGATATCAAAAGGATAAACAGCTGAAAGCAGACAACCAGAAAGGACTTCCCAGGACAGAGTTGGCTGGAGAACCGTGGTCGTTGGCCTATGCTCCTCCACGAGGTGGTACATGCGTAAGTAAATAAGTTTGGTATTATTCAGAGAAAGCATTTATCATTTAGTGGTTATTTTGGCACTGATAATATTATCGGTGGAGTCGGATATTGTGCCACTTTCACCTAATGCTTTTGATCAAAATGACAAACTTCAATAGATGTAGATAGCATTTTGTTTAGCTTACTTCATCGCTACATTTACAACAAACCAGGACCTTTCTAAGCTCAGGAGATGAAATAACTGTGAACGTTTACTACACTTTTCTTCAGTTCTAATCAGCTCCAGTGTCTTGGCGATAAACTAAATGCCAACACAAATACTAGAAGTCCAACTGTCGTTAGTCAACCTAAACCACCCATAAGGTAGGTAATTTGTTCTTTTGTGTAACAGTTTGCTCCATCTTGTGTGGTTAAGGTATTAGACTTTCAGCCACTTATTTCCAGGTTCGAACCCTGCTTCACATACTTTGACTTAAGCCACGGGGTAGCACCATCAACCCTCAAACTCAGACTGTGGTTCATACATTAGTACCTGGTAAATGATTTAGTCCATTTTTATTCAGTTTTTGCCCCAATTTGACTTGAAAGATGACCTTAGAAGATTAAGTAAATCCTAGGTTTGTTAGGATTCAATTATTGATGTATTTTAAACATTTCTGTGATTGCTCAATTTATGTGAAATTATCAACTCAAACCTTGGTAATGGTATCTACATTTTTGTGATTGGTTACCTTAAGTGAATACACTTAGCATCACTAATTACAGAACCTAACACTTATAGCTACATACAAGTTTGCTACTACAAAGCCGGCTGTTATGAAATACGATACTGCAACTAAATACATATATCTCATTAAATGCACCTCTTGGTTTTTAGGTTGGTGCGAAATATACTGGTCTTGATATTGCTGGAGATGAGTGCCAGCAAGTAACCTTAGATTTGGACTATGAAGGTAAACGTGACCGATGGAATGGATATGATCCATCGGAACATAAAAGAATATTTGAAGAGTACCAGAGACTGGAGGAAGCAAGAAAAATAGCCAAAGCAAAAAAATTGGAGGAAAAATTAGCTAAGGCAACAGAAGGAAGTGGTGGGCAAGTGAGTATTGTTTTTTCTGTAGATATCCTAATTATTAAACGGGTAAACCAAATATCTATATTTTTCCAGGCTTATGGATAAAATAATTCATCTTCAAGTTTTGGAACATAGACATGTTTTCCAACGTCCGACCGTAGTTGTTTCCCCTGACCTTAAAATGGTGTTCAACCCCGTTGATCGAAAAGTTCTGTCAGTGTCTGTCATTAAAAGGTGTACCAAAGAAGTGCATCGATCTTCATGCAGACTCTCTACTCGAACACTACTGGCCGAATTAGGACGTGTAACGAACTACCATTAGAATTATCAACCTCGTGTTGTTCGTCAAGACTGTCTACTTCCTTCATTTAGCTTTTTCATAAACATTCAGAGATAACTCTCTGGCTATTTAGCTTTTCAGTTGATCTCATACCAGGAGATTCACTTGCTAACTTGGAATACGTGAGTAACCCACGACGTAGCACCAGTCCATGAAATCATTGACAATTGGAATAAGCCATGTAAGTAGATGCAGGCTACGTGGTCGGGGTCCGTGCGATTATCATAACCAGTGATTGAATGACTTCGCTCAGAATCGTTAACTATGGTACCGATTGGCGTACTTTTTGTCTTGCGTTGGATGCTAGATTCCGAAATGTCCTTATGTGTTGTTTCATTCAATTTCTAATTTTTTTTGCTATATTTTGACAGAACAAACCGCATATGCTTAAGAGTTTGCAGACAGAGATAAATACAAAATCCTAGTTGTAATTTCTAAATCATGTGTATTATGTGATGGAAACGTGTCTATAACGTTTGCTCGCAAATAAAAATAGATGTTTAAGTCTGCGGCTAATTTTCGTTTCTAACGACTTGAGCGTGTTTTTCTCGTTCATGCTACAGTTTGTTTCTACTTAAAAATTCATTTTGTAATCAAAGAAGTAATAAAAATTTAATAGTGTCATTTGTTGAAGCTGTACAATCTTATTTATAATGTATTAGCAGATATAGTAGTCTATTTAAAAAATAGGTGATTACACCATAAAGTATCAGTATGGGGTTGTGGAGATTGCTGAGTTTTCATTGATATCATAGACTGAACAATGTTAGACGACCACTGGAAACCTGAAAGCACTGGTCGACCGTTTCTTCCTAGTATGGGACTGCTCAGCAATGTACATCCCCGATTTCACACGCGGAATTATTTGAATTTAGACATCACCACCGTTGAATGTCGACCCACTGGTTTAGAGGTTAAGCATCCGCGCGAAACCGAAGGTCCTGAGTTCGAGTCTTGTGTGTGGTATCGGTGAATGCGCACTGATGAGAAGTCCCATACTGGGACTAAACGGCCGTCCAGTGCTTACAGGTTTTCAATGGCCGTCTAACATAGGTCGATTCATGATCTCAACAAGAACAGCATAAAGCATTCGAAAATTTAATGTCCCAGGAACTCTGGGTAGCCATCTAAAGGTCAGAGGAAAGTAATAAGGCGAATACAAAGGTATGGGAGGCGTTTATCTGCTTGGCATGTACGAAGGTGAGGAAGTAGTGAAAAAGATGTAGTGACAAAATATGATCAATAACTTTGTCAATATGAATACACAGGGCTGATAACTAACTAGCCATGCTATTATATTCTGTAACTGAATCATTTACCGTTTATGGAGCAGTGTTAAACTTCGTCGTTAAGTTGGTGCACCTAAAGAAGTTGCTCCTCGTCCCTGTTTTACGTGGTCTGCTATCGTTTATCAAAAACACATTTAAGTATGTAGAGGTTTAACTGTTTAGATTCCAGTTTCTTCTGTTGCAGATTGTTTTGGCATGAAAGCTGTTAGTAGGGTAAGTGGTGAATGTCACGATGGATATGGTTGTAGGTAAATATTTGAAATTTGCCGGACAACTGACAGGTGCCCTATATGTTAGAACTCATTCACCCAAAGAAAAACACGAGAGCTCTACCTTATCTGGCACATATTTTATGCACAGAACGGTTGGAAAGACTGACATAACTAAATAAACATTAATGCATTTTATTCGCCGTTGTAGGGGTTGTTTATTGTTCTACGAAACTCATTCGAGTTTGTATGATTTTACTTTTTCATCTTCCGACACACATTTGTGGTTTATATAAAGAATAGAAGAGGTTTCTGTAGATATTTTTTGATGCAGACTTCATACTATGTTGAGTAAAATGGCCATCACTGCTATTAGAATAGTTGCTTTTCAGTTAAACTGCACATATTTAATTGAAAACCTAGCCCTAACTACTTTGGGTTGAGACACATTTTGTGAATCATATTTCAGTTTGACTAGAAATGTCTAAAAACTCACGTCAAAAAGCTGTGGAATTGGCAGAATAACATAACTAAACTTTTGTGAAATTTATATGACTGGTATTTCAATTATCTGTCGTTTCGCTTTCAAAGGCCCCTATACGATATTTTATTTCTTATCAGGAAGAACCTGCAGCCTCTGCCGCAAAACCTAGTTTGGATGACGATGGCGATTTCGATGCCGAAGATGGTGACAAATATGGTGACGAGTTAGATATGCCCGGGCAAAAGTTTGATAGTAAACAACGTCAGTCTATCCGTAATTTGCGTATTCGTGAAGATACTGCTAAATATCTGTTCAACTTGGATCCTAACAGTGCCTACTATGACTCCAAAACTCGTGCTATGCGTGGTAATCCTTTCGAAAATAGTGGAAAACCTGAATCCGAAGTTCCTTTTGCTGGAGATAACTTTGTTCGTTATGATGGAGATGTTCAGGACATGATTGATCGACAAGTATTTGCTTGGGAGATGCACGATAAGCTTGGTTTAGATGTCCATTTACAAGTAAGTGTATTTCCAAAGCTAATATCCATTTGTGCTTTCATGACCCTCCCACTACTTCATTAATAAGAATTCCAAGGCTGTTTAGGAATGTTGTGTTGATTTGGGCGTGTGGATCGCTTCACTTATCGTGGAAGTCTCATCAGCCCTTGTGGTCTGGTGTGTGACGAAATCTCAGCACGGATACAGAAGGCTCGACTAGCTTTTACCAACTTGCGTCATTTATGACGTAGGCGAGATATCCGTCTATCAACCAAAGGACGGGTTTTCTGCACAGCAGTTCGTTCCGTCCTACTTTATGGCAGTGAAACATGGCCGGTAAGAGTAGAGGATATCGGTAGGTTACTAGTATTTGATCATAGGTGTCTTCGAAATATTGCTCGTATATCTTGGGACCATCGAGTAAGTAACACAGTTGTTAGGAAACGGGTACTAGGTAAGGATGGCAAATCAATTGATGAAGTAGTGAAACGTCATCAGTTGAGATGGCTGCGACACGTGTTACGTATGCCCAACGACCGACTGCCTCGACGTGCGATGTTCAGTGGTATAGGAGTAGGTTGGAAGAAAGCTAGAGGCGGCCAAACCAAAACATGGCACAAGTCCATGAAGTCACTGACAAGTGGACTGAGTCATGTTGGTAGGTGTAGACTACCTGGTTGGGGACCGCGAGATGATAGCAACCGATGGTTAGAGACCCTGAATGACATGGCTCAAAATCGTTTGCAATGGCGCAGGTGCATACACTCTTTGTGTTCTCCCAAATTTTGATCTCCTTATTCCTCCTTGTCTCTTTTTTTCTCTTCCCAAATTTATTTCACTGTATTATACTCTTTAAATAACATCTCCAAACACTAATCTTCCCGATTACTGCTTATACTCATTACCTCTACCACTACGGGATTTGAATCGACCACTGCATCTCTGTGCTAATGTGGTGTGGCAACTCGAACTGATGTACGTACGTACGAAGTTCTATGTTGTTACTGACTGACCTGCGAAATCCGTACCTTCCAACCACTTGTTTATTCTTTTCTATATAACCACGTTATTTCATCAGGTACAAATCCATATTATACTGGGCAGCTGTCATGTCTTCCTTACGTCAGTTCATTGAGGGCATACATCGAAAATCCAACCTCGTGAGTACTGCATATCATCTATCTGTCAGTATAGTATCCTTCATTTTAGCGACCGAAACTTATTAGAATTACTGAATCTTAATACTCAATAATGACTAATTCAGTGGTTCGTCGTTTTTTTTTAAATACTAGGCAGATCCAACTCGTCTGGAATTGTTAGCTAAAAAAGTATCCAAAGCTAAATGTGATGTCCAAAACAAAGTACGTGCAGAAATTCTTGAACGTTATGGTGGTCACGAGCATTTGGAATCGATTCCGAAGGAATTAATACTTGGTCAGTGGGAATCATATGCCGAATATTCCCCTACTGGTCGTATGATCAGGGAGCTGAAAAACCAACAGTCAAATCTCGTTATGAAGAAGATGTCTTCAACAACAATCATACAGTAAGTGCTTATCTTTTCATTTTGAGAACTTCGACTAAGATTTCTGATCTTTCTCTGACACTAGGTGGTGTATTCTTTCGTGTTTACACTAAAGTTTCTGCAATCCAGTTTTCTGGGTATCTACCCCATCTTTATAACGAAGTAATCATAGACGGTAGTTATGAGAATAATCCAATCCTCTTTTTGAAAATTAGTTGATTCGTATTCTATGTAGAAAAGTCTATTTTTCATTATGAAGGAGTATTTAATACAATTAGACATGACACCAACTTGTGATGGTAAAGCAATAGCCAGAAACTTGGTTTTATTTTTTCACGTCGTTCAGGTCATTTTTCTCTTGCTTGTAAGAGTAAATTTTCCGTATGTGTGTACGCCGAAGTTTGACGGGCATTTTTAGTTGAGATATTTTAAATAAAGTTGTTTGACAGTTTATTTGCGTAGTGTTGATATGGATATGTTTTATTCCACTCCAGGAGTTGACTATAATGTAAACCGACAAATATGCTGTTAATAATAAAAGCAATTTGGAAACTAAACTTTTTGATTTTTCGTCACTTTTTTCAGAGCGTATGGGGCTCATATTGGTTTAATGGTCAATGGGGCTATCGATGTTGCCACTCGCTCATAAAGGAATCTTACTGTTTAGGAGAAAAAAGCAAAGAAACAAGTTTCCCGGAAGTCCCAGATGGACCAACAGCTGTGGCGTTGCTTAAGCCACCACCTATGCCTACAGATGCCGACACTAACTTTGACAATAAAGCTAACCTGGAGAATAATACAAATAGAAATGTTTTGAAACACAAAAAACGAAAACATGCCAGAAGCAAGTCTGGTTCAAGTTCTAGTTCAAGCTCATCCTCAGGTTCCAGTAGTGATTCTTCGGAAGAAGGAATTGTGGATTGTATAAACGAGAATGATCACCTTCGGGAAACAGTCATGGAACAATCACGTTCTAGGTTTGGATCGGATAAAGAAATAGAGGAGCATCCTACAGATACGAAAACCATAGAAAATAGAAATAAAGAACTAGCGAGATCTGAAGCGCGTCGTGAGCGTATTCGTGTTCAACGTGCTGATAAAAAAAAGAAACGAAAAGATCATCTCAAAAAGTCCTCTAAAAACAAGCACAAACGTAAGCGAAACGAAAGTAGCTCAAGTTCTTCCGCAGAATCAGTGGAAGGTATAGAGGAAGTACAAGAACGGCTAATTCAAGAAGCAATAAGAAAAGAAAGAGAACGTTTGAAAGCCGTAGATGAATATCTTGCAATGGACGAGCGCAAACGACCATATAATTCACTTGCTGACGTTAAAGCCCCTACTGCAGAAGAGATGGAAGCTTATTATCGTACTAAAGTAAATCGCGATGATCCAATGTCGCATTTTGTATGACCAACATTTGAGTGTGTGTTGTACAGATTAATATCCATCACTTTAATTTGCAATATAAATTTATTTTATTCTAGTTCAATACAGAATTGTAACTCAGAATTAACACAAATACCTCCAGGGATAATCTCCATTAATAGCTGTAAAGAACAAGTAACATGTTAGAAAATTGAAGTGCTTAAATTAGTTGCTGTGGTGTCAGTTAAGGAATTGTGAGTAATGTACTCTTTACTTGTATAGGATTTTCTACCATTTTGCTTTAGGATTATTAGCTATACTCTCCAAGATACCGTTTTCGTAGTTTGTAGAATGCCTTTTCAATAAGAGAACCTTGACTAAAAGGTTTTCCGACTAAGCATCCATATAACCTTGATATATTCACCGATTCAAGTAACCCCACAAGATAACGGAGACTGATCGGATTCAGTCATTAGTATGGACAATACCATCGTTTACTTTACCGAAGTTATTCTAGTCTTTTTTTGACTATGTATACAGATATAATATCTACTCAAAACTCTTACAAAGGCCAATCTCTTTTCGAAACATTGTTGCGTGTATCCTCCATGAACCATGTTCTTGAATAGTATTCGACATATTAACAAACGTTCGGTCACTAATCGTAAACTTCTTTCAGTAACCAGTCTGTTCGCCTTGTTCTACTTTGGGCTACAAGCAGTCAGCTATAACGTGGGACCAGGCACATATATGCATCGGTCTAAGTTGCCATACCTCATTAGCGCAAGATGAACACCAAATTCATATTAGTTACTTCAATGGTAGTAATATATAAAAGAAAGATTATGTGTAAGGATATAATACAAAAAAGAATTAGTTTGTAGAAAGCGAGATATAAAGTAATTTTAATCTTATAGTTTAAAAGAAGACAAAGAGTGTACATCGACGCCATTGTGATCGATTCTGAGCCATGTCACCTAGAGTCTCCATCCATTGGTTACGATAGTCACGCAGACCCCAACCAAGTAGTCTGCATCTAAGACCAAAAGTTAGTGACTTCAAGGATTGATGCTACGTTTTGGTTTGGCCACACTTAAGTTTCTTCCAAACCTCCCCAGCACCGGTTAGGATTGCATGTCGTAGTAATCGGTGTTCAGGCATGCGCGACACCTCATCAATTGATTTACCATCATCCCCTAATACCCCACGTCTAACATCACTATTACTTACCCGGTGATCCCAGCAGATGCGAGCAATATTTCTAAGGCACCTGTGATCGAATACTAGTAGCTTACGAGTATCTTCAACTCTTAATGGCCACGTTTCGCAGACGCAAAGTAGAACAGAACGAACTGCCGCGCAGTATACTCGTCCTTTAATTGATATTTCGCCTTCGCCAAAAGAGCTCTTTGAATCCGTGCAGAGAAGGCTCCAGACAACGTAAATCGACACATTACACGTAGTAATTTCGTTAACGGATAGACTTTTCCATTTCATGCAAACACCAATTATAAAAAATCATATGCATAATTCATATATTTTGCTTCGAACAAAGACGTACTTTAAGAGTACAAACAATTGCGTAAAATTGAAAATAATGGATCGGGTTATATCTGTTCACATAATTATCTTCAAAAAGAAAACGGAGTCAATATTATTCACGCATTAAGTTTGTCACCTGGTGAAAGAACAAAAACAACATTACTACAATTACATAAAAGGAACATGATAAACTTGTCATTACGCATTGAAAGCATTAAGATTATAAACATACTTAAGTGGAATGACAGTTTGTGATATAACTTCGAAATATCATTTCTAAATTCATGATTCTGCTGCTTTAGGGCACTACCACATACTGAATAGTTGTAGTTTCAAGAAATAAGATACATTCATTTCAGTCAGTAACCTGATAGTTACCTTGATTCATCGCATAAACCAATCCGATGTTATTATCACATCCTTCAAAATAATGGTTGATGCTTCAAGTTATTGACAAGACTCCTAACTCGACGATCCAATAGAGCTGAACTGACAAAAATGCTTACTTAAGTTCCTAAATGACTGGGTGCGACAAAACGAAAGACCGAAGTGTAACTTTATTCGAGGAAAATGTCACTGCTTGGTTATGTGCAACGTAAAACCTGATACATGTGCATTGGGGTTTAAGTTACTATGCTACATAAGCACAGCGAGATAAGATTCTCATGACAAATCCTATAGTAGTGGAAAGAAGTTAAAAGATTTCGAGACTCAGATTTTACGGGAAGGTCAGAGATTGGATTCATCTGCGTCATTATAAACAAACCCTAATTATTCGTTACGACAATTACGTGGAACCCCGACCAGGTAGTCTACACTTATTTACATGTCTTAGTTCAACTATCAATGACTTCATGAATTGGTGTCATGTTTAGACTCGGATGTGCCTAGCTTTGCCTGAACCCACTCATACACCTGATGACATTGCCTTAGTGACAGATACTGATACAGAACCTTACGATCGACGGGGTTGAACACTATCTTAAGGTCAGGGAATACAACTATGATTGGATGTCAGGGAATACGCCCGTGTTGCAGAACCTGACGAAGGGAAAAAACCTGGTCTACATATCCACGTTCAGGTCTGAAACGTTTTTATTCGGTCTGCTCCTCATGAGGACTAGTTAAACGTTGGATTATTTACGCTAAAATTTTAAACACGACATTGGTCGAATTGATTCCTTTGTCACAAGAGGGGTTTTATCCTTGCTTACATACCTAGACAATCAGTGATTGAGAATAGCCCAGTCGTCTGACTTCAGCTAATATGTCTTTCAATATAACTGCTAAAATAGGTCTACGATCTTAAAGAATTTCCGGAGCTGATCCATCTGGATCTGCTGCTCATCACTGCCTTATATTAATGAGTATTTTCAACCTGAGGTGGAGGAGATATCAGGTAGCTGAAGGACAGTCACCTAAAACGACTACCCATCGGTCTAATTCCGTGAATTGAAAGCGAATACTAGTCCCATCTTTTTCTGAGATAGTCTTACTAAGAGTCGGAATCTTCATATCTGTTTCCTTTAAAGGTTGCTAAAAATAAACGGTTATTCAAAAATAGATGGAGTGACCGGTCACAACTAGGAGAACACAAACTTAGTCACACTTGATGGAGAAACTGTGGTAGGAACTTTCACGTATCTGGGTAGTATCGTCGACAAATGTGGAAGATCTGACGCAGATGTAAAGGCAAGGATTGGCAGAGCGAGGGCAACATTCTTACAGTTGAAGGACATATGGAACCCGAAACAACTGGCCGCAAGCAACATCAAAGTCACAATCTTCAATACGAACGCTAACAAACGAAGATAAACACATTCAGCTTTAGTGAATATACAAGACTATTATACTGTAGATTTTATTAACCGTTGATTTCTACTCGGACTTTGCAGTGTTAACGGCTTTTAATTCGTGGCAACAAACTGTTGTTCCACCGCATATTCGTTAGTCGAATTTCGAGTACCTGAGTCCATGTGATCTATTACTAACTAGTGGTCAAGTCCGTTGGGTTCTGTACGTCATGCTATTTTGAATTTAATATCCATTGTCCCAGCAGTAGGATCTTCTGTGCAAAAACAAAATATAACTCAGTCAGTCAGTCAGCTACAACGTAGGACCAGGCGCATATGTGCATCGGTCCAGGTTGCCATACCTCATTAGCACAGCAAGATGAACAGCGGATTCATAGGAGTGGTTAGGTCAAAGGTGGTAATATATAGGAGAAAGATTGCAATGAGGATATAGTATAGGAAGAAAGAATTAGTTCGTAGAAAGAAAGATATGAAGTGATTTTAATCTCTTAGTTTAAGGGAAGACAGGGAGTGTATACACCGACGCCATTGTGATCGATTCTGAGCCATGTCACCAAGAGTCTCCAACCATTGGTTACGAAAGTCACGCGGACCCCAACCAAGTAGTCTGCATCTACCAACATGGCTCAGACTAGAAGTTAGTGACTTCAAGCACTGATGCCACGTTTTGGTTTGGCCGCCCCTAACTTTCTTCCAACCATCCCCTACACCGGTTAGCATTGCACGTCGTGGTAATCGGTGTTCAGGCATACGTAACACGTGGCCCAACCATCTCAGTCGATGAAGATTCATAACCTCATCAACTGATTTACCATCATTCCCTAATACCCTGCGTCTAACCTCACTATTACTTACCCGGTGATCCCAGCAGATGCCAGCAATATTTCTAAGGCATCTGTGGTCAAATACTAGTAGCTTACGGGTGTCTTCTACTCTTAAGGGCCATGTTTCGCTGCCGTAAATTAAAACAGAACGGACTGCCGCGCAGTATACTCGTCCTTTTATTGATAGACGGATATCTCGCCTCCGCCAAAGGTGACGTAAGTTGGCAAAAGCCAAACGAGCTTTTCGAATCCGTGCTGAGATTTCGTCAGACACCAACCCATTAGGGCTGATCAGACTTCCAAGATAAGTGAAGTTGTCAACGCGTTCGACTACTTCACTCCCTATCCTTAGTTCAGGTGTTGACGCAGACCAGTCCTGAAGCAACAACTTGCATTTAGAGGGAGAGAAGCGCATTCCAAACATTCTGGCATTGTTGCTTAGTGCTACCAGAAGACTCTGCATTTTGTCAGCGTCTTCACCAAACAGGACTATGTCATCTGCGTATTCTAAGTCGATAAGTGGACCTCCTGGATGGAGATCAATACCCGAGAATTCAGTCGACGAGAGTGTTATTTCCATCAATAGGTCTATGATGAAGTTAAACAAAAATGGGGAAAGTGGACAGCCTTGACGGACACCACTTGAGGTTGCAAAAGTAGATGACAGTTCGCCATAAGCTCTGACTCGACTAGTAGTGTTCGAGTAAAGAGCCTTCACAAGGTTTATGTACTTCTGAGGTACGCCTTTCAATGACAGACACTGCCACAGAATCTCGCGGTCTACAGAGTCAAATGCTGCTTTTAAGTCAAGAAAGACCACCATTATCGGACGCCGATAAGTATGCCTGTGTTCTAGAACCTGACGAATGGTGAATATGTGGTCGATGCAGCCACGACCAGGTCTAAAGCCAGCTTGGTTCTCTCGTGTTTGCAGTTCACGAGTCTTAGTTAGGCGTCTGATAATTATCGAGGCTAGTATTTTAGATATTATATTTGTTAAACTAATCCCTCTGTGGTTGTCACAGGATGATTTTGACCCTTTCTTATATATTGGGACGATAAGTGATTGTGACCAGTCAGATGGGATAACGTCTAATTCCCAGATCTTAGCTAAAATATTAGTCAACCTAATCGCTAAAATTGGACCACCATCCTTAAAGACCTCTGGAGCCAGTCCATCTGGACCAGCTGCCCTTCCTCGTTTCAGATTAACTATAGCCTTTTGAACTTCAGCAAGAGTTGGGGGACCTACTTCAATGTTCCATTCACACTGTCTGGGAATGGAGGGTAGTTGTAGAGTAGCTGAAGGCCAGCTGAACTGTTCTCTGAAATGTTCCGCCCATCGTTCTAAACGTCTGGACTGGGAGCAGATGAGAGTATCGTCTTTTTCCGAAATAATCTCACTTACACTTGACTTATTAATTCCAGTTTCTTTTATTAGTCTGTAAAGCTGTCTTGTGTTCCCTATAGTCGCCGCCTTTTCCATCTCTTTTGCTTTCGTTGCCCACCACTGCTCACGGTCGTTCCTTAGACTTTTTCTTAACCTAGATCTGATTTGTTGTCGCTCTTCATCATGTTCGGAACCTGATGGGACGAGTTTGCGAGAATCCATCAGTGTGATAGACTTTGAAGAAATCCACTGGTTCTTTGTAACTCTGTGGTTTAAGTCACTAATAGATGTCACTGCTGTTTCCACAGCTGCTTGTATGTCTTTCCAAGCAACATCTGGGTCAGCCTCGTCTTCACAACTACCTAAGTGTGACCTCAGTTGTTCCTGGAACCTACTTTTGGTTTTCTCGTTACTCAACTCAGTTCTAATGGGTCTTTTTAATGTGGCTTTTTTGCGTCCAGTGAGGCGCAAGCAGATGCGTGCCCGTATTAGGGCATGGTCGGAGTCCAAGCAGGTACTCCAGAATGAGCGACAATCTTCTACCGACCCTCTCCAACGATGACTGATGGCAATATGGTCTATTTGAGTCCATCGTTGGTTTGGTGTAGGGGGTCGCCATGTTAGACGATGTCTCTCCTTATGCTTAAAATTTGTGTTTGCTAAAAATAAACGATTGTCTGAGCACAGTTGCAGCAGACGATCACCATTATCTGTTCGCTGTGCCGGAATACTAAAATATCCACCTAAATGCCTTTCTGTTTGGTTTAAACTACCTATCTGAGCATTAAAGTCACCCTACGAGTACTATGTCTGAGCGTTTAGCTTTCTGAAGAAGTTCAGGAAGCTTTCTGTAAAATTCATCTTTCACTTCATCTGAGCTGCAGTCAGTGGGAGCGTAGGCAGAAACGACGAAAAGGCAACGACGTGTGTCCCTATCCTTCCGAGTTCTTACGGAGCCGTTTAGCCGAACAGCACATAGACGACTGTTGACGGGGATCCACTCTAGCAGTGCTTGTTCCGCCCTCATGCTTAGTGCTATGCCTACACCTGCCAGTCCACGAGAACTGGCCATCGGGTCACCAGATACACGAGGGTGTATCTCGTTGGCTCTCCGTTTTGCCGAGGTGAGGTCAAGTGAATGACCACACTGGAATCCTGTATGCGTGTTTCGGAGACACAGCATACATCAATGGAAAGAGACTCTAGGGTTTTAGCCAAGGAAGCCTGCTGACCGATTTGACATAGGGTGCGTACGTTGAAGGCTCCAATGTGTAGTTTGGAGCGAGGTTTCAGTAGACCTGGGACAGTGTTTTGAGCACTAGAATCGTTGGCTATGGTGACACTTGAGGAGGAAGCCGAAAAGGAAGTTTAGAGTTGAAAGTCGATGTAGGAGGAATAATAGGAATTGAAGAGGAAGGTTGATTATGAATACAGTGGTCTTGAGTGCTGTTAGAGGTATGAGGGCGGTTATCACTTCCCGGTTGCCCACACCGTGGAAGGGTTCTTCTGGAGGTACCTGAAAAGGAAATTGGATTAGAGGTGGTCTCAGTGACCTGAGAGCGTGACCGCAGTGCCCAAGGGACAACTGCTTGAGGCCGGTCGCGCACGGCCTTTTCGTGGAGGTTTTGACGTGTTAGCTCCGTTCTTCAAAGGGCCTTACCGCCGGAGACGGAAATCCGTGAGGTAAGGTGAGGTGTGCATTTTTAGGGTCGACCTTTTCTAACCCCACCCCTCCTTGTGGGAAGGCAGCATCGCTGTCATGCTGGTTGTCTGAAGGAAACACCTTACTGCTGTCACACCTCTGTACAGTCAGCAGTACGACTTCGCCTTCGGACCTTGGGTTTGTTGCTTTTAGTCTTACCGCTCTTCAACCGACCTGTCTGACATGGTAGGACCTTGAGGAACGGTTGTTCCAGCCAGTATAGCTCGGTTGCTTCATCACGATAGGCAAGCCCGACCACCACGTCAAGGTAGCAACAACGGTCGGGATGATTCAAACAAGGAAAGATCAATAAGATAAAATAGAATCATCTCATAACTATAATGCTTAAGATAGATCACAAAAAGAACAAACCTGAATTGGAAGGTTGTATTTCAGATATTTCATTAAACATAAATTCTTGCTGATATTCCTTGAGAAAAAGAGTCGACCGAGCCTCATCCATAAACAAAGAATACACCTTTCGTATATCTTCTTTACTGACTTCCAAGCCCTTAGATAAAATAAGAAAAACATAATCAAGATAAAACTGATTGTATTGAAAACCTAGTTTAAAAATAATAAAGTTGGCTTAAACTGCACACCTGATCTCAAAACTCCGAACTTAAATGTTCTGATGAACGTAGTGGGACTGTAGATTAATTTACTGTAATTTTCTGAACTGTGGCTTGGATTCATTAAGTAGACTAGTAGATAAAATGCCGCTATTCATGTGTATAGTTACCAGAAAATATGAAAATATTCTATACGCGCGGCTTTAGTCTCTAAATCATACATCACTTTAAGCTATATAATTACATGCTCAAAGCAATTGATTTACATACATTACAAAAATTCATAAAACGCGTAGTAGCAGTAAGTGACGATTATTGGGAAAGGAAGCAAGCTTACTTTGCGTTTTCGACACACCAAATTTGCAGTGGTTATCAGTTGGATTGCATAACGTAAGGATGTCTGCATACCGATTCGGGTAAGAACGACCAGTGCGTCTTCCGAAATATCAACATCCTCTTCTTCACAACGAATCTTCAAAATTGCTTGGATTTCTTTGTCTGTATATGAGTCAGTTGAAATGATGAGGAGACGATCAAGAAGATCAATAGGTATTCCGTGTGGGCTTTGATAATTAGTACCACGAATTCTTCAAAATTTTAAAAGAGATGGCAATGAACAAGTTGATTCAGTTTCTTATCAACGAGTTATAGTCAGTTATAAATAAGTGATCAAGCTGTATTACATAAAACACTAGAAAACGAAGGCAATGTCAAGGGAAGTAAATAAGACTATGACGAAGACACCTAGACATTTAGAGTGACAATCAAAGACTGCCGTGCCATTTGACGAAGTCAGATACATCACGAACGAATAAAACAGGACAGGATAGCGTAATGTTAAATTATTAAGCTTTACAAGAACACAAGGTGAAAAGTAAGTTATGGAAATTTAATCAATCTAACGATACAATGAGGGATATAAATAAAACATAGAGATCAAATACAAAGAATTGAGATTCAAAATCCTGAATTTATGGGATGGTCCATTGGGTTTGCAAAGGTCATGTAATATTAAAATTTTAATGCTGAATACTTTGTGTTCGGTTTTATAAGGGAAACAGTTGTGATTCAACAGACGTTACTTCAGTCCTTGCCCCCGAATGCCCTGGTACGATCGAGGGTGGGGAGAGTGCACTCTTCCTCTTAAAATGCTCACATGACCACGCGTATACAGACATTATCAAGGAAGTTCTACTCTCTGCCTTTTCATGACAGGGGTGTTCTTTACGAAATTGGGAGGACCAAAAGCGACTGTTCGGAGCTTTAACCAGGTTGGTGGATATATAGGACCCATCTAGGGGAGTTGTAAAACCCTGATTCCAAACGAATGGTGCACACGGGCTTCAGTATCCTGAAGGAACAAATAGCGTATGAACCAATTGTTGGTCACCGGCTACCATGTGACTGCATCTCCTTACGTTGCTCCACTGCTTTGTGGATTAGACCTTTATGTCAAGGGCTCGGGAAGTGATCCCTAGGAATACCATCTGCTTCGGTTCGGGCGCCCGACCAGTATCTAATCCCTCATAAATCGAATGATGAATTGTGGCGTATATGTATTCGGTGCCTTCTTGCACCAATATTTATGTGTTTGAATATATAAGTAACTTCAGTTCTTAGTAATCAACCAGTTGAGGAATCCCGACAACTTTAAAATTAGTCTTTCATGTAGCAATCAGTTAGCTAAAGTGCCTCATATCAGATCAACTAATAAATTTAATGTTGCTCATTTATTTGCTCCAAAGAAGTGGCATACATGAAGTCACGAAACGTCAGAAATACAGTTTTCCTACTCATTGGGATAAAACAAAAATATATTTATTATTAAGTCTCTTCTCAATTTATTTGAAACTACCAAGCCCAACCTTGGTATGGATACCTATATCAGATTAAACTATGGAAACAACAAATTTACAACTGTGGTTATCGATTAATCAGGGTTTCTTGGAGGAAATCCTAAATTCTATTTAACTCATTAGCATCAGACGCTATCAGGCAAAACTTAGAAAAGAAGCGAGAGGCAAGATTGTTCAAACTTTTGTTTACATTCTTTAAAAAAATACATAGTAACTAAATGAAGTCAACATAAAATGCATTCTAGATCGAAATGTACTCTTCAAGAAATTGTAGTATTGTTCAACTACACATTGTCTTTAGACAGATGCATGAATTATGTAGGGGTAAACTTGACAAAATCATAAGTGCACTTAGAAAGACTTTCTGACCCACAGGGTCCGCCACTTTTGAGTAAATAGACCCAACAATTAATGACTGCTTTAGGTGGGCAGTCGTATAATATCACTAGTCCAAATAATAAACATGGAGTGAAACCAAAAACATTCACAAAGCCTATTTCATTTTGAAGATAAAGTGAAGAGATGGTAATTGCAATCCGTTTAGTTTTATTCTGACAGGTTTCCAAAGTCATGCTGTTTCTGAGAGCTACACAGATGTAATAACTAGTATATGACATACTTATTTAAATTCAATGGGGAAAGTCAGTTAGTTATAAACAACGTAAAACCTAGCACATGTATACATCGGTTCGAGTTGTGACAATGACAAATGCCATATAAGGTCAGTAATAATGAAGGATATGAAGATAACGTAATTTACCTTGTGATACCTCTGTTTGTTGCCACAATTAACACAGGGGCCATGTCAGATTCAAGGGCTCGATTAAGAAATGAGAAGCATTCAATATCCAACATGTGCACTTCGTCAATAAACAGGACCTTCAAGGGGGAAAGAATATGTGAATAGATACGCTACTGAATAGAAAAACAAAGAGCAATTAACGCGACTAAAATCTGATAAACATGCCGAATTAGGAAGGTCGTTTTTCGGACTGTAGGAAACAGCCGTGAATGATTTTAGTCGCGAGAGTTAATAACAGGTAAAGGACTTAATCACTGACCGGTTGGGGTAAGACTATAATTTATGGACGACCTTTGAGTGTCCACCTAATAACGAGGATCAAATGAGGGTTGTAAACCAGTGTGGGGAGTTGGAATTGTGGTTTACAGTTGATGGTTAAGGTTAAGAATGCAACTTACGTTTGTTATTACGAACTGATATCAGCTGTAATGCCAAAACTCTATTTAACTAAATGGATGAACGAATTCAGCGCCTAATCCGAGACCTGTTATCTTATACCAGATTGGTTCGTCCATAAATTAGTCTCAACCATGCTTCAAACATTATGTGCGAGTTGTACATTATCCATTTAGACAGCATTTAGGAACGGTTAAAACACGAATTGGCGAAATAAGAACGAATAACTGTTAAGTACTATAAGTGAAAAACGTGACTTACACCAGGAACTATTTCTGCCTTTCCTTCCTCCCTCCATTCAGCTACTTTGTGATTAATTTGATCCCTAACCTCCGACTTTATTTCACCGGTATCTCCACTGAAGAGGGCAAGAAAACCCTGAGTCCTGCTGTTAATTACGTCGATTTCGTGTAAAGTAACAGTATGAACAACTTCTTTTCGTTTTTGCAATTCACCTTCCGGACACTGAATAAACTTTGTTTGACCACCGGTAGCATCGTAGTCTCGAGCCCTGGTAAACGACCGACCTAGTCTTGTTATTTTTCCAGAGGGTTTATCAATAGTAATAACATCACTAAAAATTGAATATAGTTAGTAAGAAATTACCCAGCTTGAACTTTTTCCTTTGTTAGGGACTCGATCATTTTTTGACCTAGATCGTAAACTGTCTCCATCTCAGTTGTCTTAAGCGTTAGTTTGCCTATTTTTGCGCCTGTTCCAGTTGCTGGGCGGTCTATTAAGACTTCGACAACTTCTCCTTCAATTATTTCGGCTTCCTCTCTGAGGATATTATAAGAAAAGTATAACTTACTTGATCCGCACGCCAATTGATTTTCTGAATGCTTGAGTAAGTGCTTCCGTCTTGCTCATTTCTAATGAGAAAATTTCACTACCAGCCATTGCAGTGAATGGTGTGTCATGACCAAGTGCCTGAGCCATACCCATAGCAATTGCAGTCTTGCCTGTACCAGGTGGACCAGCAAGAAGTATGGCACGCCCAGCGATTTTGCCCTCACGAATCATACCCAAGATAAGGCCAGCTGCTCTTCTTGCCTTACATTGGCCAACCATGCCCTGAGAGATCTGTCGGGCTTCAAGATCGTCATTTAATCCCAGACCACGAATATGTGAGTGAGCTCCTATGCGCTCAATACGCGTAATTTCGCGAGCCGCCGCCTCTTGAACTGTTGCGGTTAACTAAGAAGTTATCAAAAAGTATTTACATGTGTCAGTAAAACACTAAAAGAAAAGAAAACACAACCTAGCAACCAGACGCTGAACTTACGTTGACCATTTGTACGTCGCTCCCCTCGAAAAACGATTGATATAAATAATTCCTCGCCTAACTTTATTACTCATAAGTAGTAGTATTAAAATTATTGATATAATTAATAATTAACATAAAAATACCCAATACATAAATTTCGTGAATTCAAGCACATAAGATATGCGTTACAGTGTTCATATGTTGTGCTATTTAATAATTCGAATATTTACCTGACTAACTTTCGCTGACATTCCAGTATTCTTGCTATTAGTGTGTCGTGTTCAAATAAAAGTATTTACAGGGAATGAACTCGAATAACCGCAATAATCGAGGGAGTACGCGAGAAAAGCTTTACTGAGTTCCTCCCCAATTTTTTCTATCTGGCCAATCAGGAAGACCCAAGTGGTGCCATTGCCCAACACTTCTACGCACACAAAAAGCCAAGTACAGGATATCAGTATCTCAACTAAAGGTTAGTGTATTTTGTACCAAGCTATCATTTTCCGAAATCGGGATGAGCTCCCTCATCCCCCAAACGTTGCATTACGTGTAGTAATTTTCATGGATAAATGTTGCTTTACACAGTGGCAGCCCATATAAAAACATTTGGGTCCTAAATATATTTAGAGTCTCTGAGGAATTTATAAACACCCTAAATTAATTACTTTCCCAACTCAATAATTTTGTTGTTTGTAATTAGTAGCTTATGACTTCCTAGTGAATTTTCCGGGCTACATTAATCAGTAGGTCTTTGAAAATCTTACTTATTGCTGTCGTATATCCAGTGTATATATGAGAGAAGTAGCTCCTACGTTCTGCACTATTCAACTTCATAATGCCGCCAGACAATCCCATGTACCGCCATTGCACTAATGGCTACTGCGTCTACAGACGTCCTCATAATTCCGTCATTTATTGGTTCTGCATACCGTTAATTTCTTGGACCTGAATATTATTTGATTTTATGTATGAGTGTCGTAACTTAATTTCCTTAACTCATTAAGCGTTTCCCTACCTTTAGGAGTGAAATATGCCTAGCGATTTCTCCTTTGTACCACCTCCGGAGGCTCCTGTGTTTTATCCAACGCCTGAAGAATTTGAAGACCCACTTGGCTACTTGATGAAAATCCGACCAATATGTATAAAAACTGGGATATGCAAAATCGTCCCTCCCAAGGTAGGCTTGGATACTTTATGCGACATTTTGATCATATTTCATGATCGTAATTATTTTGTTTGTAAGTTAGTTTTGACAAAACCTCGTGAATAAAAAATAGCATATATTACACCACTATGTATATCGTACTAATTATAAGTATTCTATTAACTCCCCAAGTGTATATATTTTCTCCCCAACAATGTTACCATTTTATAGATTACTGTTAACTTTTATTTGCAGTGTTGGAACCCTCCGTTCGCTGTTAATATGAAGGAGTTTTCATTCACACCACGAATCCAGCGGTTGTACGAGCTAGAAGTAACTTCCATTTCTTTTTACATCAAACTACAGGCTCATTCTCGTATCAAGTTGAATTTTATCAGCCGTCTCTACAAGTTTGTCCAGCTACAGGTACTTCCATCTTGTAATTAATTTTGCCCTACAGGGAGGCGACAAAATCCGAGTACCTAGTATTAGTGGACGCTACTTAGATCTATATGCTCTTCACAAACGTGTCGCAGAAGCTGGTGGATATCGTCAAGCTTGCGATAACCAATTGTGGTCTGATATTGCTGAAAAGTTAGGTTATCAAAGCCGTCATGCACATACAATTAAAACCAACTATGAAAAACTGCTACTATCATTCGACCAAGTTGTATCATATCCGTCTCGGCCCACCAAGGTAGTTCTGCGTTAATTTTTCTAACAATATTAGACCACTTATCACCCTAGAAGTCGTTGGAGTGGTTATAAACGTGGCAGAAAATCAATTGGGGTTAGTGTATTCTTAGAGACTAACTTATCAATTAATAGGAAGAGAAGATAGATTACTCGGCTAGTAACGAGTTAAAAAACCTGCAGTTTTTTGGTCCTGGACGAAAAGCTGTTGTTCCTGAAGATGGACGACCAAGCAGTAAGTTTTAAAAAATATTGGTTTTATCGCTTTTTATTCAATAGATTTCAAACCAGAAGTCAACGTAAGTTCCCGGAATTTTGTCCAGTTTCACTAATGTTTACAGATTGATGAATATAATTGTCGAGTTTGTGGTCATGGAGATGATGAAACCAATCTACTTGTCTGTGATACAGATAGCTGTCAAGCTTGCTATCACCTGTATTGTCTTGACCCACCTCTTCGTTCCATCCCAAAGTGCCAGTGGAAATGCCCTGAATGTGTCAGAGCTATCTGTTGTAATCCGGTGGATGTATATGGATTCCCTCAATCGAGCAAGACTTATTCTCTTCAAGAGTTTGGTGTAATGGCAGATCAATTCAAATCTACTTATTTCAAACGTCCATGCACTGTAAGTATGATTTGCAGTAGTTGTTTGCCATTTTCCGCTTCATTTTCTGGCTTGTAATACAGTTTCATTTCCATCGCTTCCGATCATTCAATGGCTTTTGTTAAAGAGCTTAAATTTTCACGTTTATCTTAGCATATAATGTGTTTTCATTCTCTTACTAGTCATGCCAATTTCCTCTCCGGTGCTCGTGTTACTTTCATTCACTAAGTTCAGTCATAGTTTCTTAAATTCATATCAAGATAAGATTGTTTAATCATAATTTACGTTGAGCAATAGACCAGTGCTCATGCCTTTATAATGACATTCAGTTAGTCAGTCAGCTACAACGTAGGACCAGGCACATATGTGCATCCGTCCAAGTTGCCATACCTAATTAGCACCGGATTCATAGAAATAGTTAATTCAGTGGTGGTAATATATTAAAGAAATATTGCATATATGGACATAGTACAGGAAGAACGAATTAACAATGACATTGGATTCATGTTACCGAAATCCTGGTGTAGTATATGAGTGTGTTCATAAATCTGCTCGATGTTCGTGGCTTTTAAGTAATGTTCATGTACGATTGGCCGAAACGGAATATATTGGTTCACTTTTTGTACTGGCTCCTTCATTCTTATATACTGACTAAAACCACCGTTCTAGAATGACTTCACAACTGGTGTAGCTGCTAGATCTTTAGTCGCCCATAATCATTATTTTATACTTATGGATATTCGTTTTTACTTCTAGTAAATTAGTATGTCTAAAAGCCTTTTTCCAGAAAAAAGCACGTGATCTGTTGGTATGCTTCATATTGTTATTGTGCTTTGGAACATCAAAGGACGAATAAATATCAGATACCAAAGCATTTCGGTAACTAGACGAAACAAATACTAACCGAGAAGATTCGAAGTAAAATATTGATCGCTTAAAGTATTATGAAAGTAGGCGTATTTATTCCCAATTTACTTGTTCCTTTTCCACCTACGTCCCACCGGAAAGCATAAACGAACTTTTTTTTCCTGGAAAAACTACCTTCCAAATCAAAGAAACTGGTCAATATATTAAATTTATCACTGCTCGTAATATTGAACTACCTACTTTTAATCACACCACCTCTAGATTCTGGTACTGACACCTTTTATGTTATCACCTACTGAACCGACCGGTATCAAATATCGGTAACCTAATTATTGGTCGACAAAATGTATTCTCCCCTCATATTTTCAGTAGCACAAGAATCACCGCTTTTATGTAAATCTCTTCCTCTTACTTTTTCTAACTTGTCAGCTGAAGTTTAGGAAATAGTCAACGAACCTTTCAAAACATTGCAAACTATACACTGTGTATCTCATTGTATGATCGTGTTAGATGTATATCGTTTCCTAGATATACATTCTGCTTTTGTTTGTTCAGTTACTCATAAGTAGCGGAGGACTTTGCAGGAATCTGAATCTGTCAAAATTGTTTAACTTCATATTCTCACAGAAAAGGATTAACAAAATGTAAAACTGAAGGAGCGAAAACGCTAATGAAAATGGTAAACGATGAATACGAACTATTGTTCATAGGGAACAGATAAAATCAAAGTGTTAACACTACCAAGTTAAGCTCAAAGCTGAAAAGTGAAGAATACATCTCAAACTGTTTTCTGATCATTTCATTTGAGGTGTGTAGTCATAGATACTGATAAAATGGGATTGGAAGGTTGAAGGTAGTCATTCATGGGTTTTAGTGTGCCTTTGATTGCACGTCAAGTTCTAGGTTTCATTATAATTATGGACTAAACCATAACTAGTGTACTCAGTCATTCTGTTAGCCTTATTTATCTGGGAAAGCACCAGTTGGTTGAATGAAGTCCCTTACTTGTTAGAGGGAAATGGTAGATAACCGTGAAGGGAACGTTTCAAAATCCGCTGCAAACGCTAGTAAATCCACCTTGCCTTTTTCATCCTCATAGAAATCTCATGATATCATGCCTTTTTTCCGAGGCTACTCATGTTCTTTCTAATAACAATTTTGGGATTATTCTTCTTGCTCTTCAACAAACAAGTTTGTTTAGTCTGATTCGTTATAGTATTCCATATTGTTGTGTATGTATGTTTTCTCCCTTCAGTGGATATTTGACAAAACCAAACAGCACAATAATGTTATATATCGTTTTGAAGAGACTTGATTTTGCAATCGCATCAGGTCTGCGTTGGCTATCAGCTGGTAAGCTTACTCGGTAAAATGTTAGGCCGTGTTCTCAAATAGCCCTGTTAAAGAAATTGAGTAAATATACCTATGCCATTGGCAAAGATATCATGTCTGTTTATCTCTATTCATCTTTCCATTTGTAAAACAGTTCAGAAAACAAATCAAATATCATATTACAATGTCAACGTGATTAAAAAAAGTTGCTGTTAAATAGTAGTCCTAGTCATAATGTTATAGGCGATGAAGATTTAATCAGTAGTGTTATTATTTGAATCACATCGCTTTGGCCCATTTTTAGTATCATAAATACATAATTTGTTTTATGGAGAAATGAAGTTTGTTGTTTTTCCGTTTAGTATTTCGCTCCTGAATGCTATTCAAGTTTTAGGATTCCCCTAAATAGTTTTAGATTTGTTTCTATTTTGCTTACAGAAGAGAATTTCTGCTGTAGTTTGAACGTAGGTAGTCTATATTCATTACTAGTATTGTAGAACTGTCAATTTCTGACTAAGCATGAGAAATATCTTTAATATAATTATTTAATCACCGTTTTATGACTCTCTGGATCTTATAACTTTTCACAATTAGCCATTAGACAGTGATCGCTGAGAATTCGTTTCCATTTTCTACCTAGTTTAGGGAAATGGTATAAAATTAGTTACGTGCTAAAATTGTGCCATGGTCTCATCGAAAAAGTGTTCATCCAATCTGCTACTCACTGTTTTGTCCCATCTTACTATCCGATTTAAGACCAGTTTATAAGCTATTGCTAAAACGTTTATTAAATATTTGATCTTACGTATACCTTCATTAAGTGCAAATGAGAATATTGCCTGTACATATTTTTTGAGAGTTAAGTATTATATGCCATAAGTAGTAGTCTTAATATAAACGGATACGTAACATGTCTTTTTTATGAACAGGATGTGCCATGCGGTGAAGTAGAACGTGAATTCTGGCGTATCTTACAGGAGTATAATGATGATGTCGTCGTTGAATACGGCGCTGATATTCACTCAAGTTCTCAGGGGTCGGGGTTTCCAACAAAATCAATGCTAAAGAACTTAGTTGGCACTGCTTCCCAACTAGCAGAAGCAAAGAAGTACGCCGATAGCCCTTGGAACTTAAATATATTACCGTTGTTAGATCGGTAAGTTGAATAACGTTGATTGTTTATTTCCTAAAAATGTTAGTGTGATTTAACGTAGTTTGTTTTAGAAATATGAATTGCAACGCGGATGTAATTACAGCTATTTCAGTTCTATAATAAGATGACCCTATGATTTAGCCGCTTAACTTTATTTATTATGTATCAGATTCCAAACTAATTTTGCATACTACTGTTTAATCAATCAAATAGTATTTTTTTGTTCCTGCCCAATGGGTACCATTAATTTCAACTGAAATTTTGTGGTTTAATATATTGATTTTCTATTCATACTCGATACTTAGACAGTAGCTTTGTAGGTAACAAACTGAAACTGAGATAATTGTGCACAACATAACCCCTAACCATAGTACATCATTATCTCAATGAATAATTCAAAACTCTTCTATGTGTATATCACGCCAAATTGTAACCCATTTCTACTTTTCAGATTTTTCTATTTCTTTTCACTTGGAAGTTTGTTATTTGATATCCATCTGGCTCTTCAGTTTATCTGCTCTAAAGAATACCTACTCTTGGTTTTATGAACCATCTAGAAATATAAAATCATCTTCCTAAATTCTTATATAAGTTTATACATTGACCATATTATGGGGCCTTGGATGTTAGGCAAAAGAAAACTAACAAAATGGGCACATTTAAAACTGTTAAAACGTACTCGCAATTTAATGAATATTAATTGCTTCCACATTATGTTATCAATTTCATCATTAGTCAAGAAATTTATTAAGCGTCTAAGGAGACTCACTCCGAGATTAACATGATCTATGAAAGGTTGGTGGTTGTATGAAATATGATATTTTTTAACTCGTTTATCATATCCATATATTATTTAATAAATGTTAAATAAATGATTAATACTGTCCTTATAATTTTTTGATGACTAACAGATCAGTCTTGAGGTTCATTAAAGGAAACATAGACGGTATGAAAATCCCTTGGTGCTATGTCGGTATGGTTTTTTCTAGCTTTTGTTGGCATATTGAAGATCATTGGAGCTACTCCATCAATTTTAATCATTGGTTAGTTGGAAATTGGCTTTTAATAATTGATGTTAATTTGACTTTTAAAACTGTGGCCGCTTGTGAATTCCAGTTTATCTCCCATGTCACTAACTAGATTCACAGGTCTGGTTTTAACTTGTGAACACTGAAACTTCCTATTTTATTCTCATAATTTCGTATATAAATGTCAATACGTATTAGCAACCTCTGTACTATTCTGCATCTATCATTTAGATTTTCAGCGATCTCTTTATGATCTTGTACCGTGTGTTTGAGCATTTTGGAAACCACTATGCAGTTCCTAATGTAGTTCTAAAGCACTATCTTTCAACTAATTTAGTGGATAAACTACTGCCAGACTGCACACCAAACTAGTTATTTCCACTAGAAGAGGCAGTAAAACTCATTTTAAAGTATGCTTGTTGTTAAGCCATGTAAAGAACTGTCAAACTAGTAATAATAAGATCCGTATGAAGCGATTATTCACTAAATTTGCTAAACTAGAAATATTTATATATTTTTATGAATTTTCTTACCACTCAGTGCTCATAAACTCAGTTTACATTTCCAGTTACAGTTAGTCATACATGCTTCTTGTATTCTTTAACAGCCAGGCACTAATTTATTTTACTGCTATCTGTCTGTTTTTGTTCATTGTTAAAAAGTTATTTTTGGTTGGGGGATCTAGCACTTTTATTAACACTATCCACTGTGATCATCTTTTAAATTGAAATGTTTTTCGTGGACTGTAAAATAGGGGTGAGCCGAAAACTTGGTATGGTGTATCCCGTTTGCATGCAGATGATTTTGAACGCGCTATGAAAAAACACGCTACAGAACTTTTCGATCAAGCCCCAGATTTACTGCATCACATTACAACTAATGTAAATCCGAATATTTTACAAGCAGAAGGTGTACCAATATATCGGACTGATCAACACTGTGGAGAGTTTGTCGTGACATTTCCGCGCGCTTATCATGCTGGATTCAATCAAGGCTTCAATTTTGCTGAGGCTGTTAATATATGTCTACCTGATTGGGTAAGCTCATTTTTTAACATCCGTTTGAGCTTTTAAGTCACATTCGAAAAAAATTATTTGTTGAATTACTAAAAAATTCCTCTAGTTTCTTTTGCAATTATGTCAAAATACCAGCGTGTAACAATAAAATTATATAAAACAACTGTCAGTATGCAGCATAATGCCCACTACAGTATCTAATACAAACGCATTCACACTATTAAAGTTGGTTTTGAACTGTACAACCTCAAGTTACTAGCCACTAGTTTTGTTAGTTATTTGAACTTCGTTTAGATTATGTTTTACCGTTCTGTCCAAACCAATATCCTAACTCCTGGTGGATTGTTATTGTTTATCTTCATGGAGACGATATTCTAATTTTAAGAGGTTGGGCGTAACATAAACTTCACTAAGTGTCTTTGGTTTACTCTTGTCGTATCTATTTTCTAAAATCGGAAAATGCTGAGTTGCTCCCTGAGTTTGATCACTGTTCCCTTTGTACAATGTCATCGTGAAATGGGAGACACTTGTTATAGTTTGTGTGTGTTTTATTATGTGCCATTTTATACTGCTCTGGTATCAATAGATTGAATCAATGACTGATATCAGTTATTATTTTTGTGTTTTTATCATTGATAATATCAATTTCGTTTTGGGGCAGTGGCTTCATACGTGAACAACTTTCTGTTACTATTAATATATTTTAATTGATAATTCTTCAATCGTATGTTTTAAAATGTTGCATTCCTAAGCTTCCTATTGGCCGTGCTTGTATTGAACATTATGCTGAAATTAAAAGACATTGTGTATTTTCAAACGATGAACTATTATGTACATTGGCTGAAGTAGCTGTGGGCAATGTTCTTCCAGAAGAAATACTCACTTTAACAAATCCTGTTACTAGCTGTACTTCAAATGGTGAATGCTCAGACAATCCTGAACCTCATATCAGTGAAAAACTACCTCCTGGTTGTTCAACTTCAGGTCTCGACATAGGTGCTGTAGCTATTGTGCATCAAGAGTTTACTTGTGTGCTCAAAGAAGAACGACGGTTACGAGAATTAATCATCCAAAGTGGTGTGTCTAACTCGAGAAAAGTTAGATTCGACGAAATGTCAGATGATGCACGTGTCTGTGATTTCTGTTTGACTACTCTTTTTTTATCTGGAGTTAGTTGTTCATGTATTTATGAATCGAACACCAGTATTCAAAGATTAGAGAACCCAACTGACCGTTCTTTGGATGACCTTAGTACAACTGCACGAAAACACAAGATGTTGGATGAACCATGTGGCATTATAGATGAATCTAATGAAGGTGTGTTTTTTCTTCGTTTTGACTTCCTAATTCGTCATCTTATTTGTTTCAAATTATTTTTTAAGCATTTTGTTGATAATCAGTAGTTTTAGCTAAGTTATTACTAAAAAGTTAATACCATCCTACTACTTTTAAGTAGTGTGGTTAGTTTTATGAATTTTCGTCTTGTCTTAAAGTTAAATCAGATAACTTTTGAAAAACAAGAAACTTTTTGCCTACCTTTAGGCTTCCATAATGCAACCTGCTAAGTTAGTCAGTCAGCACTTGAAAAAATCAGCTTCAGTTACCATTCCACATCGCAACGAGATGAAATTTACAATACGAATGGCATAAGAATTGAAATTATAGTATTTTCACTAGTAATGAGAAATATGGTTCGGAAAGTGATGAATTTTAGTGGTAATACTGAAGCTCAAAACTTAGGGTAAGATGTATTGTGATTCCATCCACACCAACTGTTATAACTGTACTGCAGATTAGAGCGCAGCGTATTATCGATCGGACCAAAGACGCGTAAACACGTAAGAACGGCCTAGAGTTCTGATTGGTCTCGCTTCCCTGTCTAGCCCAGCCAGTTGAGTCCAGAACGCAAGTCTCAGCCTCTGAGATATGAGTCGTTATATTTCAAGAATACTGAGTTTATATACCAAACAAACCGACCACAACGTACCAATAAAATATGAAACAACATTTGTACAAGAATTAGCCAGATGTGGCTGTGAATGTGGGAGGTAGCGATTAACAGACAGGTAATAATTCATGAATGATAAATCGTATAATAATAGTTCATAGGTCAAAATCAAGCTCATAATAAGAGGGACATGAATATGAACAGTTTAGTTACATAAAAATTATACGATAAAAATATACCCATAATATTGGTCCATAAATGGATCCCGAAAATTGCCATTCATTATTCTTTTCGGGATACAACACCAACATAGTATCTTCGACGCCTTATCTGTTGTTACCACAATTTCATCTCATTGTACTAATGGGGTACGGAAACTTGAACCTATTTACACACGCACCATGTTCTACGTTGCATTTGACTGAATGACGCCACAGTAACCGATCTTGAGCCATATCACTCAGTCTCTCTCACTGATGATCTTATAGACCTCAATCAAGTAGGGTAGATCTACCAACACGTTTCAGTTCAACAGTCAGTGACTTCATTGACTGATACTCGATCTTGGTTTGGCCTCCATCAGTCTTCATTTAAACAATCCCTAATTCAGTCAATATATTGGGTGTCGAGGTAGTCAACGTTTGGCCATGGGTTTGGTTATTACATACCTCAGCTACCTCATTAAATGAAGGCTCAGTTTCACCAATCAATTCGTCTCTTAAGTGTTGAAGTGTATAGGTTTTCTAGGAGTTTTAAGCCGTTGAAAACTCTATCTATCGCTTCATAATTTACCATGGTTCTTTAACTGTTCAGATCGTAATACAACATACATTCAGTGTTTGTCATTAACTTCTTGAATTAAACAATCGTTTTACAACTTATGTCCCACAATTTCATTTTTATCGAGTCATACTATCTAAGCCTGACCTTACTATCACTAGTAGTACCTGTATTACGCCGGTATTCATCTTGGTAATTTCTTTCTTTTGTACTGATAAGATGTGGCAACCTGTGGGCAATGCACGTTTCGTGTCAGGTTCATGAATTCCTTATGGCAGACTGACTTCAATCCTAGTATATCTTTGCGATACCATGTTCTTTTAAATTAAGAAACAAAATAACCGTTCATTTCATTGAAATTCCTGTTACCTTCGTTTGTTTCCCAAACATCTCAAACGTAACCAGTCAGTCTGCAGTGGTGCATCATTTCAGGATGTTTTTCACATAGCTACTAATCAATACATAAATTCCAAACCCCCTAATTTTCATCCACTTCATAGTTTTTCATTACATTTTATACTCAAAAATCTAGCTAGTAAACAGTTTATTTGTAAAAGCAATCAGCTATTGAGAATATTTCACTATTTTTCATTTGTGAATTATTGGTGATATTGTGTCGTTCATGAAAATTAGTTGTAATACTATCGCTTATCTAATTTCCAAATGTAGTTTTACTAAAAAATTACTATTCATCCGAATGTTTGGCTATTGAATGAGCAGATGACAATCAGATATGATGTAAATCAGGTTAAATTATATTTCTAATGGAAATTTGAATGGGATTTTTCAAATGCTTCCAGCGAATAATTTAGTGCAGTGTTCAGAAAAGTATTTCTTTTTTACCCCTTACAGAGGAAAAGCGACCTCCTAGTCATATGGTTTGTCTAAAACATGTGTCCGAATTGTGCAAGAAATGTCCACCCTCAGTTTTTGTACTCAACTATCATTACTCAATAGAGGAACTATGCAGTTTAGAACAATGTTTGGCTGATCGCCTAGCCCATTTTTATGCATGGAGAAATCAGTTGTCTGTTATAATTAAACCGAGTGATTCAAACACTTTCTCAAGTAATCACTTCATGAAACAAGAAGCTAATGATAATCATGTTGTTGTATCTAACAACTCAACTTCAGGTACTATGACACTTGAGGAATTGGAGGTAATTAATAATGTTATAAGACTTGTCTTTTGTTCTTATGTTTTTTGTACGAAATTTATACAGATAATCTAGAATATAACATAGTAAAATAATTAGCCAAACTTTATTTGTGACAAAAGTTTCAATTTCTATTTATGCTTCATATGTGGGAACTTCGTGTTAGTAGTTCAGACACTGATACAATGAATTATAAATTGTAAATTTTTGTACATACTTTATTTTTTGGATTCGTTTTCATAGGGTAAATGTAGCTCCTAGCACATTACGTAAGCGTGTCAGTGTTTAATAACTTGCATTTAATTGCGATTAGAATGTCCATTTTGCACCAACTTCACTTATGCTACTGAAAACCATTGAAATGCTCACCTGAGTTTATACAGCGGCTTAAATTTAAAATAGATAACCGAACATTACTGTTTACTTTATCTGGTAGAGTCTTCCATTTGTCAATGAAATTTTCTACCTATTGTCGTCAGACTAGACAGCAAAGACAAGAGTTTAAAGAAATATTTCATTGAACTCAACTGCATATTTAGATGGAAGCATTCATATTCTTGTAATCATTGTTTTCATAAATAGAGCTACACAAGGAGCCGTCAAGAAGTGAATTAAATATTAGCGATTATTCACAGGCCTATGTTCAATTTTTTTAAACCACGCCAATTATGTGTAAACGTATAATACTATATAGGCACCAGATTTTTGACGACTAGGTTTCTACTTTAACGCATTTAATGAGAAATAGAACCCTTTATATTGAATTCATTTGACCACTAGTTATGGCTCTCAGGGATAAAGTATAAACTATATTCTCATAGTTTTCTGAAAATATGACGTAAACAGTCATACTGTAAAGCGACGCATTCACTTTTTTCAAAGAATTCATTGTTTCGCAATGTCGTTGCATGAGATATTATTTTGTAGAAAAACGTAGCATGTACCTAATCAGTTTATGAAAATCATTATTTTTATATTTTTATTGGTGAGTCATTGACGGTGTACACTGCTACCACCTCTACATTCATCAAAGTGGTTTCCACTCTTGCGTGTCAGTACCTCTAAAACCGTTCTTCATTTTTAGTATTCTACGAACTAAAGTACCTTTAAACAAATGGGAATGTTCAATGAATTCCCATAAATGTTGACCGTTGGCGTGATTATATATCGGGGTGAGGCACCAGTCGTTAAGCCAGCAAATCACTGGTTCAAACCCCACTCCATTTTTGGTTCAAGCAACAGGGTAGTATCACTAACCCTCACATTTCAAGTGAGGCTACAAGTTCAGTACACGGATCTGTGCCCAATAGTTGGGTTGAAGTATATGAGGTTTACTCTATCATTTGAGTTGTCAAATGAATGTTATCCGTAGATAAGTAATTTGCCATGTTAGAACTAGTGGGTGAAGTTATTTTAATGTACGAATATTTTTACAAGTTTACCTTGTCTACTATTCTAATCACCCTGAAATCTATTCGTACTTTGAATCATTTGATTACAAGCTAAGTATTCTTCGACTGTAATCCAATTATTCGAAGAATTCTTACAAAATTATCGTCGCACATTTTCTTCATAACAGCTTTTTTTAACAAGATTGTTATACTTAATGCCCTAAAAATATAGATTTGCATTATTCTTGATATCAGATAAAATTGACCGAAGGCAAGGCTGCTGGCTATCATACTGATGACATCTACAACGATGCCAAAGCTATGTTAGATCGTGGTAAACATCTTCAACAAATATGTGTCAAATTAAAACCCTCCATTATTGGTTCCGGGAACACTGATAAGTTCAAAAGCTCATTAACAAGCATATCATCGACCGTCAACCCTGTAAAATTTCAAACCCGACGTCCTGCTACTTTTACCGTGGCGACTTCGACTAACGGTTGTGCAACACCACATAAAATTATCAAATTGCCTTCGAATAATGGATATGTAGTTCTCAACCATGAACTTGACGTCAACAAGTAAGTGTAGATTTCTTCGAAACATCTCATTTTAATGTACAATATTCTAATATTCGTGTTTCACGTGAAAGAAATTATTTTTTGTTAACTTATCTTAATTGAAACCAAACGTTTAATAGCTTAAAATAACACTCATCTTCATGAGTACATAATAGGATAAAGTGAAATCAGTTTAGTTCCCATCTCAGTTTGAAAATCTGAGAGCAGAAATGCCTGAGTTTAATTTACCAGAGTCCATTTCACATAATAACTCCATTCCAGACAACATGGAAAACTAATGACATTTTGAATAGATTCACGTGTGATATGAGTGATGAATTTATTGCATGTTGTGATTACTGGTACTGAAAATTCCTTATAGTCAATCATCAAATAGATAATAAATTACACATCGATTATTACGTAATGTAGTAATAGATTTCACTCCTTTTATGCTTCTTCCATTAGTCGAATGGCTGAATACGTCTTGATGAAGGTAAAATCTCGACAACCCCAAAATGAAAACAACCATGTGCTCACTAGTGACTAGCTTTAAGAAGGAATTCTCGGAGTTCTAGTGAGAAACCGTGACCAGCCGAGTCTAACCGTATAGGGTGAGGCGGTTACTCACTGAAGATGGTTGCACAATATCGTGCACTGGTTGAAGTTAGACATTAACATCGTTGGATGTCGACACAGAGGTTTAAAGGTTGGGCGTCCGCACGCGTGACCGAAGGTCATTGGTTCGTGTCCTGTGTACTGGATTGTGGATACGAACTGCTGAGGAGTCCCATACTAGGACGAGACAGCCGTCCAATGCTTTCAGGTTTCAATAGTGATCTAAAATTGATCGGTTCATGGTTTCAACCAAATCCACACAACCCCAAACTGGAAGTTAGAATATTTGCTTAGCAATCAAACTCACAGTTTCCAACCCTCGACCTTCAGGTCCGAATACTGCTCTACTTTGTTTTTGTCAATCGAATAATCTCGGTAGTCTTTACATCAAAATAATTGATCCATATGCTTGTACATGAATATATTCTTGGCTGTTGGATCGAATCAAATTAAATTACCTTTTCTCACTCAAGTTACGCCGTGAATACATAACTCTTGAAGAACGTATAGTTGTTTATGCAAAGGCGGAAAATTTAATACAGTTGCACTGGCAGATTTTTGACATATCAGTGCTATCGGCACTAGATATTTATTTGTTGATTTGGTGTCATGTTAACTGGTTATGTTTCCTATCTTAAAGGCATATAATGCAAAAATTAAAAACTGGGACTGAAATGAAACATTTTGAGCGTTTAACTATCAGCCGATCTTATCATTGTTAAAATTAATAATATTATTGGACGAGAGGTTTGAGGAGTTGAAAGAGAGAAAATGATGAACGAAAGGGATTGGTTTATAATTATGAACCAAATTCGTTTTAATGTTATACACATGGATTCACGAAATTTACTGTTAAACTCCATAGTAATTAAAGTCATTAAGTCTGATTGTGATCTTATATAAAATAACGTTGTTCTCCTCAATGTGTTGTTCTATTTTTGACAATGGGAATCTTTACTATTCTGCTAGTCTTTGTTTTTTTTTTTGCTCTGAATTCCTAGTCCCCGGGAATACGATCTTTTACGACTGATGGAATCTTGTGAACAACAGCATCCTCTCAATCTTTTTGAGGATCCATCAGTACAATTAGTCAAACGACTGTTAAGTCAGTTAACAACGTGGCACCAATCAGCCCGTGATATTATTAACCTACTATGCAATTTAATCCTAACAAATGCCACTCGAAGTATTTCTACCAGTTTTTCCATATCAGATAGTTTGTCCAATATTGGTGTTAGTGCGGATTGTCTCCCTAATGATTTCTACGCTTTCTCAACAGATGATCAAGCCTTAATAATCCTTGACCATTTTTGGAGAAATTACGAAATGAATTCCCATCGTATGTGTATCGTATATCGGAATGGAATTCTCTTAATCTCGTGAGTTCTGGCATGAGTAGTTGAGTGTTGTGTATGGTAAATTAGTAATACTAGTGTACCATTTTTTTACAACATGTACTTCATATGTCAATCAGTAGACTTTATGTTTCATTAGTAAGTTCTAGTATTTAGATAATGCGATTACCACATGGCTTCTAAAAGATTATCTTCTATACTAATAATAGGAAACCTTTGTGTTGTTTTGATTCATAGTCATCAACAGTTGTCCAGTAGTATTATTTAGTAGATGACATGTATTTTGCGAAACAATCACAATTCTCAGCACTTCATCGAATAATCAACTAAAGTTGTTATTTATTGCCACTTTCTTTGTCCTGCCCCTTCTTAATCTAGGTTAGTATTTGAAATACTTTTCTAAACGTACCTTGTTAATTGCCATATCTAAATGTGAACTTAAAACAAATGCGTCGTAAGCCTCAAGAACTACAATGTATGGTCTGTTTTCAGTTTGAAGTGATTCTGGATACTATTCAAAATGAACATCCAACTTAAACAGTAATCCTGAGAATATCTATCAGTTTCCCTCTCAAGTCGTTCGATCTTTAATTTGTTTACTTTCTAAGAATTTGTAGCACTAAATTTTATTGACATCAAAACACCTTCAACGAACTTTATTGCTTGCTACATTATTGTTGTCACACTTTTGTCTATTGAGTTTTTATCTGACCTTACATTTTTCACCATTTATCTTCTTGATTTTAGCTACGTCATGCATTGAGATGGCTCTGTATTTATGGTCGACATGATAACAATAAAAGTACGTGTTGGTCATTGCCTCATCTTCGAAAGTATTTGGTTTTTGGTGAGGAAATTATTTCACAGCTGACAGCAATTACCTCGAGTCAAAAATCTCACTCAAAAATAGTTCATTCATCTTCATCACCTGTTTCATTATCTATCCGAAACAACCAGACAATTTCTCAGTCTCCAGGATCCTCGTTTAATGTTAGCAATATGGACACTGCTTTAACTCAGATCATGAGGTTTGTACTAGCTCGAATGCATACGTCTTTAGGAAATCTGACCCAGTTGGGTGTACAAGTTGAAACTCTAGTTGGTGTTTTAACTGAGATTCTCAGCAGTTCAAGGTGAATTACTTATAATAATAATATATAATTCATTTTTGTACCAATAAGATCACACTTCATTAATTGTTTGCTCTATGAACCACCAAATATTTTGTGAATTGGTGATTTGTTAACACAGTAAGAAGACGAAGGTTATCAGGGTTACATTATACATTTCGAACAATCTGATCACATATATACTAGTTAAGACATTTTATTGAAGCCTTGGCTATACTGAAACTAAAACCCTTTTTATGTGTTCAAAAAAAATTAGTCCTTACCCTTAACCTGCCCAGGTAATACTAATTTATTATCCAGAGCGGTTTTCACATCGCTTTTGTGTACTTTCTTATTCATTTTGTCTTCGTTTGCCTTTTAATTTGTCTAGTTGACCTTTTATTTTTCATATAAAACGTCTTAATAAATATATATGTGATCAGATTGTTCGAAATATTTTACGCAAATATGTCACATAATCCTGATAACGTTCGTCTTCTCAGTGCATTATCGAAATTTATCGGAGGGACTTATTGTCTTAGATTTTCTAACATGTTTTGCACTAGGTATTATATATATCCACAATAATATGTTGACAACTTAAACTTTATCATTGCTCTCATGAACAGATTCAGTGAAATATCAATAGAATCGATCTATATTATTCAAACTAGTACTGTTAATATCATGTATTTATTTTGAATCGAAGAATGTTACCTACTTACTTACTTACGCCTGGTTAAAAACACTAACCAGAATGTTACTAATTTTTTTGTATGTGGTTTACAGGTTACAGGTGACCTGGATATCCTATACTGGGTCTTGGAATTCTTAACATTTTATTTGTTTTTGTGTGTTTACACTAAAACAGGTCATCAATCTATCAAGAAATTGAGGATGCATTGTACCGAATAAAGAGTCTGGGAATTGATCACGTTACGGCTGTTAATGGACAAATACCACTAACAGATGAACCTCAACTTAATGCAGCATTAGATGAACGCCATTTCAATAGCATTGTAGATACTCAGTCAGTTACTACACTGAAGATATCGCCCAATTAAAAGCACTTTTAAAACAGCATGTTGATGACATGATAAATTTGTGTTCCCGGGATGAATATAGTTCAAAAACTAAACCTTATTTAAATAAAGTAAGTTCATTAGTTTTTATTTTGCGTAATAAATCTCCTTATGTTTCATTTTGCTAACCTACTAATTTTATTAAGCGTACACAATAAACACTTTAGATTTTGTCATAATGGCTAGCTAAAAAATTGGATGAAGCTTAGTAAGAAATAAAGTAATTAAGATTTTACTGTCGCTGTTAATTTTTATTTCATTTTATTCAGGATTGATCAAGTGACGCCGAACTGTTAATTATACAAATAAATAAGATTTCAATCAACCTTAACAGATTTTCATTATATTCATCACTCTGATTCAGTTTGACCTCTTTATTTGACTACTTAGCGATCAGTATTATTGCTTTTCTAAGCGTAACGTTACCCATACCTAATTCATTTGTCACTTGTCTGTACTTTCTGAAACATACTTAGTTGTACATTTGTATTTACAGTGGGTTTTATGTGTTTGTAGAAAAAGGGAGAGATTATATCATGTAGTCATCTGAGATTCCAATCGTCCAAAGGAAGGTTCCTTAATTATCTTTATGTTAGAGAAGAATAGGAGTATGAAAGTAACTTACGGGTCAGAAATATAAGGGATAATTGCTCACTTAACTGATAATTGGAAAGGAGAAGACATAAAGGTCATAATAACAATTGAATAATAATGATGAAAGATTGTTAGTGGGTAACAATAACTGACTAAGTGAACGATTATCTCTTCCCTGGCCTCTAGATCATTTCACAGACTTAGTTGTACTTACTTTAGCCATCACTACACAATGATTCAGCCTCGATAGTGTTTAATGTCCATTAATTTATTGATCTGTAGCTTTTCCGTTTGAATTATTTATTTATTTATTTCAATGCAAACAGTGATACAAAGAGGTATAAAAATATGTATGCCCCATACAAAGTAGCTATCACTCAATTTGTGTTTGGGATGAGATACTGTCCGGGTGCCAAAAGCGAGACAGGTAGTTTTCTTAGGTGGCCACTCTCCGAACCTTTGGTCCAGAAGTCTAATCCACAAGACAGTGGAACAACGTTAGTAGATGCAGTCTCATGATAGCCGGTGACAAACAATAAGTTCATACGCCATTTTTCCCCTCACGATCCTGAAGCCCATGTGTTCCATGGGTCTGGAATAATGGTTTTCAAACCCCCTCCCCCTATGTAGGTCCCTCGTACCCACCAACCCGCTTGGAGAGTCGAACATTCACTTCTCGTCCTCGCGACTTCGTAGACAATACCCCTGCCGCGAGAAGACAGTGAGTAGGACTTCCCTGACAATGGCTGTATATGGGCGTATTTCGAGAGGAAGAGCGAACGCTTCTCATTTTCGGTCGTACCACAGTTAAAGTAATATGAGATTGGCTAACAAACGAAGATAAACACATTCAGCTTTAGTGAATATACAAGACTATTATACTGTAGATTTTATTAACCGTTGATTTCTACTCGGACTTTGCAGTGTTAACGGCTTTTAATTCGTGGCAACAAACTGTTGTTCCACCGCATATTCGTTAGTCGAATTTCGAGTACCTGAGTCCATGTGATCTATTACTAACTAGTGGTCAAGTCCGTTGGGTTCTGTACGTCATGCTATTTTGAATTTAATATCCATTGTCCCAGCAGTAGGATCTTCTGTGCAAAAACAAAATATAACTCAGTCAGTCAGTCAGCTACAACGTAGGACCAGGCGCATATGTGCATCGGTCCAGGTTGCCATACCTCATTAGCACAGCAAGATGAACAGCGGATTCATAGGAGTGGTTAGGTCAAAGGTAGTAATATATAGGAGAAAGATTGCAATGAGGATATAGTATAGGAAGAAAGAATTAGTTCGTCGAAAGAAAGATATGAAGTGATTTTAATCTCTTAGTTTAAGGGAAGACAGGGAGTGTATACACCGACGCCATTGTGATCGATTCTGAGCCATGTCACCAAGAGTCTCCAACCATTGGTTACAAAAGTCACGCGGACCCCAACCAAGTAGTCTGCATCTACCAACATGACTCAGACTACAAGTTAGTGACTTCAAGCACTGATGCCACATTTTGGTTTGGCCGCCCCTAACTTTCTTCCAACCATCCCCTACACCGGATAGCATTGCACGTCGTGGTAATCGGTGTTCAGGCATACGTAACACGTGGCCCAACCATCTCAGTCGATGAAGATTCATAACCTCATCAACTGATTTACCATCATTACCTAATACCCTGCGTCTAACCTCACTATTACTTACCCGGTGATCCCAGCAAATGCCAGCAATATTTCTAAGGCATCTGTGGTCAAATACTAGTAGCTTACGGGTGTCTTCTACTCTTAAGGGCCATGTTTCGCTGCCGTAAATTAAAACAGAACGGACTGCCGCGCAGTATACTCGTCCTTTTATTGATAGACGGATATCTCGCCTCCGCCAAAGGTGACGTAAGTTGGCAAAAGCCGAGCGAGCTTTTCGAATCCGTGCTGAGATTTCGTCCGATACCAGCCCATTAGGGCTGATCAGACTTCCAAGATAAGTGAAGTTGTCAACGCGTTCGACTACTTCACTGCCTATCCTTAGTTCAGGTGTTGACGCAGACCAGTCCTGAAGCAACAACTTGCACTTAGAGGGAGAGAAGCGCATTCCAAACATTCTGGCATTGTTGCTTAGTGCTACCACAACACTCTGCATTTTGTCAGCGTCTTCACCAAACAGGACTATGTCATCTGCGTATCCTAAGTCGATAAGTGGACCTCCTGGATGGAGATCAATACCCGAGAATTCAGTCGACGAGAGTGTTATTTCCATCAGTAGATCTATGATGAAGTTGAACAAAAATGGGGAAAGTGGACAGCCTTGACGGACACCACTTGAGGTTGCAAAAGTAGATGACAGTTCGCCATAAGCTCTGACTCGACTAGTAGTGTTCGAGTAAAGAGCCTTTACAAGGTTTATGTACTTCTGGGGTACGCCTTTCAATGACAGACACTGCCACAGAATCTCGCGGTCTACAGAGTCAAATGCTGCTTTTAAGTCGAGAAAGACCACCATTGTCGGACGGCGATAAGTATGCCTGTGTTCTAGAATCTGACGAATGGTGAATATGTGGGCGATGCGGCCACGACCAGGTCTGAAGCCAGCTTCAGTCTCTCGTGTTTGCAGTTCACGAGTCTTAGTTAGGCGTCTGATAATTATCGAAGCTAGTATTTTAGATATTATATAAGTTAAACTAATCCCTCTGTGGTTGTCACAGGATGATTTTGACCCTTTCTTATATATTGGGACGATAAGTGATTGTGACCAGCCAGATGGGATAAAGTCTAATTCCCAGATCTTAGCTAAAATATTAGTCAACCTAATCGCTAAAATTGGACCACCATTCTTAAAGACCTCTGGACCTAGTCCATCTGGCAACGACGTGTGTCCCTATCCTTCCGAGTTCTTACGTAGCCGTTCAGCCGAACAGCACATAGACGACTGTTGACGGGGATCTACTCTAGCAGTGCTTGTTCCGCCTTCATGCTTAGTGCTATGCCTACACCTGCCAGTCCACGAGAACTGGCCATCGGGTCACCAGATACACGCAGGGTGTATCTCGTTGGCTCTCCGTTTTGCCGAGGTGAGGTCAGGTGAATGACCACACTGGAATCCTGTATGCGTGTTTCGGAGACACAGCATACATCAATGGAAAGAGACTCTAGGGTTTTAGCCAAGGAAGCCTGCTGACCGATTTGACATAGGGTGCGTACGTTGAAGGCTCCAATGTGTAGTTTGGAGCGAGGTTTCAGTAGACCTGGGACAGTGTTTCGAGCGCTAGAATCGTTGGCTATGATGACACTTGAGGAGGTAGCCGAAAAAGGAAGTTTAGAGTTGAAAGTCGATGTAGGAGGAATAATAGGAATTGAAGAGGAAGGTTGATTATGAATACAGTGGTCTCTAGTGCTGTTAGAGGTATGAGGGGGGTTATCACTTCCCGGTTGCCCACACCGAGGAAGGGTTCTTCCGGAGGTACCTGAAAAGAAATTGGATTAGAAGTGGCCTTAGTGACCTGAGAGCGTGACCGCAGTGCCCAAGGGACAACTGCTTGAGGTCGGTCACACACGACCTTGTTATGGGTAATTTTTGTGTTAGCTCCGTAATTGTTGAGACCTTACCGCCGGAGACGGATATCCGTGGGATAAGGCGAGGTGTGCATTTTTATGGTCGACCTTTTCTAACCCCACCCCTCCTTGTGGGAAGGCAGCATCGCTGTCATGCTGGTTGTCTGAAGGAAACACCTTACTGCTGTCACACCTCTGTACAGTCAGCAGTACGACTTCGCCTTCGGACCTTGGGTTTGTTGCTTTTAGTCTTACCGCTCTTCAACCGACCAGTCTGACATGGTAGGACCTTGAGGAACGGTTGTTCCAGCCAGTATAGCTCGGTTGCTTCATCACGATAGGCAAACCCGACCACCACGTCAAGGTAGCAACAACGGTCGGGACAAAATATAACTTCCCCAGTTATTATCAGAAGAATAATTACCACAGATATTTTTTCACTTAACTTACCTTATATTTTATGCTTGTTATTTCACAGTTGCAATTGTTAACTGATTTCTTTTTTATTATAGGCAGAAATCTTGTGTAAACTCGGTCGTTTGTTCTCACCAACTTCGGATTCAGATCATTTATTAAGTTTCGTTACAACTAATCATAAAATTATTGTTATATCGGACAAATTAGATCGCCAGTTGAAAAAATTAAATGATCTTGTTAACAACACGAAACGTGCTATATCGGATTTGTATAACAAATTCCTTCCTCATCATAGTTTGCCTGGATATAATATACAGACAGATTCATTATTAGAGGTGTGTTATGTGTGGTTTTAAATATTCCTTTAAACGCAGTTTAACTTGTCACTTTTTAATAACATGGATTCAAAGGTTCTGAAACACAAAACTTAGTCATTATTACGGTTTTTACGTTGGCCTAGTATGTTTCATCATCGTACAATTCATCACAACATGTATCATCTGACGCTGATTATTCTCAGTAGATTTATACACTTGTGAAAATATCGATTGTAAACCAATAGTACTGTAAAAGATCGTGTTTTAGCTTACCTTTGGATCGGTCAGGAAACTTGATTTCTTTAAGGAAGATTTCTCGTTTATTCAAATAATTATTCTCAACAATTCAAAAAACAAAAATAAAAAAGTAATTCTACTTTTATTGTATAAGAACTGGCATTTTCAGGCATGGAAATTTCATTTCACTTCATACCTGTCAAGTCGATCATTCATATTGTAGTAAGGAGTTAGGCTGCTTCTAATTATAATAAATCCAGTCTTTGTTCATCACCTGGTCATCTAGGTATGATATTTTTTATCCTGCCAAATCCCTATTTTTAAACGTTTGTCTATCATAAAGAAGATATCATTTAATTTAAGATAGTTAAACGCCAATTCTCCTCTAAACTAAATTTCATACTTCCTCTTCACTGATACGCTAAGATTAGTTTGAAGCAATATAAATTATGACCGGTTTCGCATTTAAATTGAGTTTAATCTATAACAGGTAATATACATGTAAAAATGGTCCATTCAGTAAATATCTGGACTGTATCACTAAGCTTTGCAACAAAATTTGGATACATTCTATAGAAAACTGATGTAATGTCGTTAAGTGGATCGAGCGTTTTAGTTCAAGCCCGTAAAGACTAGCTGACATCAAAAGGACGATATTTTTTTCTTCACATATAATTATAAATTCTGAGTGTATGAACATAAATATACAAAAAAATCATTCCTTTAAATGTTATTGAAATATGTACCAATATGTCCAAATGCACACTTTCACTTAAAGATGCATGACGCTGGAAAACAAATTATTTCTGGCGGTGATCACATTCTAATCTGAATATAAACTATCGTTAGCCTGATTTTTAGATTTTATGGCCACTAATAAGGTGATGACTACAAATTATTAGCATTATTGTGAGGCGGATTTGAGGAGTGAAAAGAGGGAAGTAAAATTCTATTTATTAATTCGTGGACCGTTATGAATTATAAATCTAAATCATATTTATTTTAAGGTTATTCGTAAAGAACACAAAGTTGATGAAGAGTCAGAAATGTGGTCAGACTTCATTGTTTATGTAAGCATCCCACATCTACTGTCTATATACTTTCCAATTAGCGATTCTTTTTCCGAAGGATTGATAATGAATTAAATTTAAAAGATCGTCTGTGTACATATTTGTAGCAAAAATGTCAAAGGATATGACAACTAGGAAGATACAAGTATGTTGAAGGAGATTAGACAGATTAACCTTTACTTTTTTTTAACATCAGTTCACGTATTTACTAGATAAGTTACAAATGTGCCTATATGTTCCCAGAACTTCTGAAACATTTTTTATTGTCTACAATGTAGAACGTGACTAAATAATTTATTAACCAATTGTAGATTTTGTTGCCTGGGTTTTCAATGAAACATCAGAAATGCTTTGCTTTGCAGTCATTCAAAGATGCTTCCTCATCGAGTTATGATCTTTCACTTGTAAGTTTACCTTTAAGCTTCACTAAATATTTAAAAAACTAGGACTAAAGTTAAGCTTTCCAACAGTTGGTTTTTCATATTTTAGTTGAAGGTACTTTTTGTAGTGTTTTTTAAATGTATAACTGAGTATTAGAGTCCTCTGTGTGATCTAGGAAATCGGATAATTTATTTTACTCTTTCCCAATCGATAAAGTCGATAGTCTTACATATAAACTTACACTCTATCAATCTTTATTATTTTTCTAAATCACTAACATCTATTGTATGTGTGGTGTCTTGAATATCCATTATCATTGTTTGATATGTCACTGCACAGTCTTAGTTCATTTTAATTTCCCTTTGTTACTTTACACTTCAGTTTACATAAATCGATTTCCACTTTGTTTAGTTGTGGTTCCTTGATTTAAATACTCAACTTTCAGTTATTGAATAAGTGTTTCAAATGTTGTGCCCTCTAAGTAAATTTGAATAATAAATTCACAATTACATGTAACCTTCAACTATCAGTTCTTGAATTGTTATTTCCGAAAGAAAGTACTTGAAAGTATTTTTTTATCACATCTCGTTTTATCCGTTGCATTTATTTCTGTAATGGCTCTCGTTCTCTGTTGAAGTAAACTATTTTTGATTCATTATTTTTCATTTTCAACTACTTCGATGCCTTCAGAATTTGTTGAAGCAAACAGATTTGAAGATATTAATTAGAAGGATAAGTTTATAAAAACTTTACACTCCACTAGATAGACAGTGTGCATTCAACCTCTTTTGAGTTTATTGTCGTTGCTTAGTAGACTAAATTAGTTAATGTCGCTAGTACTGATACTTTTTGATTTTTTCGGCTCGTTTTGTGATCGCAGTCACCTTGGTCAAATTATCTAACTTACATGCATTAAGCTTATAAGATGACTAATCCTATGAACTCTGCAGCTATTTATTCTACATTGTCTCTTCGTCATTTATATCATGTATTCTGTTCCTCGACTTAGCAGTAACCTAATAGAATTAATAGAAAGTTGAGAATCAAGAATATGACTTATTATCCTCCATTTTGTATTTATTCATTTATCTTCCTACTAAAAAGAGCCTAAAATACGCCGTACACGTTTATTATGTAGTAAATATAAACATAATAATAATGCTTTAAGAATGTTACATACAGTACATAACTTATTCAGTGTAACTGAAAAATTAAAACACCTAATTTTCTTTCTGATGCGAACTGATTTGAATTAGATTTTAACACTATAAGATCCAGGTTCACTGGTCCTGGGTCGGCGAGGTCGCGGATTCGCATTGTTGAGGAGTCCTATATTGTGATGAAATAGCCGTCCAATACTTCTTGGTTTTCAATAGTTGTCTAGCTTAGCTCGATTCGTGAGCTCAATAATAATGTAATTAACACATTAGTAGTTTTACCTGTTTTTATTACTGATTTCAGTTTTTTCGTATATTGAAGTCTCTTCTTACCATTGTTTTCTTTTTCGTTATGTAGTCTGTATATAAACAACAAATGAAGGATCATTTTGATTATATATCGTCAGCACTTAAAAATATGTTCACAAAAGGTACTTCATGTGATTTATGTTCCAAGCGCTTCAAAATAACAAGAGTCATTACAGACCAAATTGTAAGTTGTATTGGGCTTTGTGATTGTTTCTCTTGTCAATTGTTTCTTTCTTGTAATTTCTTACACTGATTCTATCAAAAATTCCAGTTATTTAAATATGGTTACCTGTTTTGTGAGTTTAAATGAATTGGGAACTGACTTCGTTTCATATAGAAGAAAGGTATTGTGAGAGAAATGGGTTTTCGCTCCAGTTATTTTGTGAGCGTTGGTTTGCTTTCAGTGAATTATATTAACGTTAAGTGATGAGTTTGTGAAAAAGATGAATTGAATTATTCTATGCAGTCGACTGAGCTAAATAGTTTAACTGATTAATAGATTTTTTGTGTCCTAGACATAATACACTCACTTTTGTTTGCTTTCAAATCTCAACACTATGGTCTATCAAACTTCTCAACATTTCATTTCATTTTTTAATTATATCTTGCATTTTATTCCATTACAATCCAGATCTCCGAATGCAATCCTTGTGATTTATGTTCATTATGCTCAGAAGATCTATCAGTATATCCCACATTTGATTGGCTTATGCGTTTTGAACATTATTGGTCCAGTTCTACCTCATCTAGTGTGAACAATGAGGAAATTGTTGATCTAACTGATGAAACGGATTGTGGAAATTATGGCATTTTGATTCTTCTGTGTAGCCCTGTTTCCACTGCTCTTCGACTTTGTATAAATCAAATTCAAGAGTATTTGGTAAGTTACTGTACAATCTTGAGAAAGTTTTTCGCTCTTTGCTATACTATTGCCATTGATTTGCCAACAAAAATTCTGTATATGTTAAAAAGTTAATTCTGTTAGCCTCCAGTTCTCCATCACCTTACATCCTACTTCAAGCAGTTAAAACGTGTTCTTGGAGCATATTCTCATCAGAATATACTTGTTACACTATTCTAGAATCTCTCATATCCTGAATCTAATTCCTTAATCTATCCTCCTGTGATACTTAAAATCTGCTTGTTATACGATTTTTGAACCATAGAGACATTATTAAATGTAATTCTAATATCATTAGGGTATGTTCATAGCATCATATCATTTTGTATTTGTAAGATGGCAATAGTTGTAGAATCAGTCACCCTAACGCCATCATCTTATTAGTTAAATTTCTTGTTGAGAACTTACTGCCTAGTTTGCAGTGCTCACTATCGACGTCAAAAAAAATCCCGAAATTCGTCCCACCAAGATCTTCATTTTTATTTATTTATTGAGAATAGAACCCGAAGTCACTGCTAAGATAAATTTCAAACCTTATTGTCTGCATAACACTGTGACGTCTACTGTTTACATTCTGTGCACATTGGGTGTATAAACATAATGTAGTCACCTATAAACTAATGAAAACATTGGTAACTTGAACATTTTTTAAATGATCTTTGTAAAAACAAATCAGTTTAAATTATTCTCATTTTACGAAATGTTTTGTTACTTTGTATGGTTTTCGTGTGTCTGTTGAGTTTAGTATATCCAATATTTTATAGCACCCAATGTGTTTATCCTTATCCACAGGCTCAATTGGAACAAATTCTTCAATCACATGAGAACCGATTAAATGAAATCATTTCACGCGTGAATCAATCGTTAATTCAACAACTACCAAGCTGTTTGATGGATTTCATCAATAAGATGTGCAGTTCACAAGATCCATCAGTTTTTACCAATCATTCTGACTTAACCTATGAACTCTGCAAAATATTGTGTGTTTTCCTTACATTCAAAGTGAATTTGTTGCCGTGTATTCAATTGATCGAACATATTTTATCATCACTATGTGTATTTAACGATATTAACGAGAATACTCTACAAAAATTAGGTTCTTAATGTGTTTTTTTCAAGTAACTCTATTTAAAGCTTGTTTACCAAACAGTCACGTTTAGTTATTTACAATTTTTTTGATTATTGTTGTTTTTTTATACATTATTTGTCAGCGTTTGTTTCATTATATAAGTTGACGATTGTTCTTGGTAAATTTTGATATTTCTATATCAGTACGTAAGTAATAATAGATCTGGTTAACATGGTTTTTTGTTTATTACCTTTTCTTTAGTATTCATTATCTTAACTATTCATAGTCTTCAACTTCTGTGTATATGCATCAGCTGTGCTTTTTTTCATATACCTGAGTATATGGGCAGATGATGATATACATATATCCAATTGCATTTGTCTTTACTTTTTCACGTTATTTCGTCTGTTTTGCCGTATATTTTCAACTTCGTTTGTATTTTTACTGCTTTCCTTTCTTGTAACTCATTGTGAAATTGTCATCATTTACATACTTTTAATTTATATATATCCACAAGACTTTTATTAATACTGATCTGGAAATTAATAAAGTATTTTATTCAGTTGTGCGTAACGTATTATCATCTTTCTTGTTTGGAAATAAAGTAGCTAAAATAATGGCGTGTTGTATAATAGACATCTTTCTGTCATCGAGATACTGAATTCTTAAAATTTTATGCCATACCATGTATGTATAGCTTGCAAAATATTAATCTTTTAGGTAAAACCACCGTGACTAGGTGTAATATCTAACGTTCTTATAATATAACCCAACTTAGAACCTAACATTGGTTGAATTTCCCAAACCCAATTAACACAGTAAGGTAAAATTGTCAAAAAAAATCCCAGAGTAGTACTTGTAGCAACAGTATTAGTGGCAATAGAAAAGATTGGGCATCGAAGATATGATCCAAGAAAATATCAGTTAGTGGAATGAATAAGTTTATAGGGTGATTTGTAAATATACAGCTTAAGGCAAGACTAAAAGTGAATGCATCTGCGCCATCGCAAACGATTCTGAGCTATATTAGCCAAAATCTCTAACCACTAGGATAATCACACAGAATCCAACCAGGTACCCTTCACCTACTTATATTTTTCAGTCCAGAAGTCAGTATCTTCATGGACATTTCAAAAATGCTGGGATTGCTGAGAATATGAAGTGACCTATTGCGTATACATACATTCGGATTTTTAAAGTCTATGTTACGTAGTGGTCTGATTGTTAGAACTTGTCGTTTGAATGATTATTGTCTTGGCTCTTTTAATGCTACATTTTGTATCTGGCCGTCGCTGATTATTATGTCGGAAACACTTATCACTTATACTCGGAACGAGGGACCTCTGCAATTCCCGCGACGCAAAAGTAAGAACACAAAGATTGGTATAAGTGAAAATTTATTAACCCCAAAACACTATAACGACTCTAGTAGAAAATACACTCATTTATATACTGATTGTACACCCATTTTGATTAATAATTAGGATGAAATCACATATATGAAAAATACTTAGAATTATAACAAATCACATATTGAGCATAGTTCATTTCAATGGAATACAAAAATATCGCATATTATACAGAATAAAATATCATACGAGAAAAGGAAACAAATACTACATTAAGTAATCATTACATTGAATCAAAACGGAAGTGATCTTGAACTAAATTCATAATGAGTAAATCAATCAAAAATTGACTGTTCTTTCCATCACATCACTGTTCTGTTTACTTTTCGAGTAAATTATATATTTTACATCAGACTGTTTACTTCGCTTTTCATAAGTCACCACTTGGTCATTTTAAAATACCATAATCCATTGATGTATGTGTAAATTACCTTGGAAAGTTTTACTATGGCAATAAAATGTCACTACATACAATTGTCATACTCTATGATTGAATCCGAATTGCTTTCGATCATACAGCTTTCTCTAAAGTGTACAACTAAGAATTCATAATTTATAAAAAAAATCAAAACTAACGGACAGTTATGCCTTATGATCCATTTCTGTCTCAATCATAATTCTAAACTTCTAGATAATCAGCTATGCAAGAAATAAAACCCAAATCAAGTTTTATTATCATAACCCCAATAATTATCGTAACTGATTCATATATCTAGATTTTGTTAAACTGAGGGGGTTAACTGGCGGATAACCTTGACTAGTGATAAGTCTTGCAGATTGGACGCTACATTCGTCTCCTAAGCTATTCTTTAACCCCCAAGCTAAAACTAGACAGCAACCTGAACACGAGAGAGAAGACTCAAAATGTGCGAGAGGTAGTTTACTCCAAGGTTCATTTTAATACAGAAAATATAGGGTTTTTATAAGATTTCTAGATGTCCTTGGGTCGCCAGAAGATTCTGGAATGCTGCTAAACATAGTAGCAGTACAGCAACCAGCCAATCAGAACCTCTACATGTGACGTTTCGCTTCCTTGATATTTTTGGCAAAAACTCCAACTGAACGCTGAGTGGAGGAAACGCTTCTTAGTGTTTCCTGATGCTTGCTTGTCTCTTGCGAGAAACTTGCCGGATCACCCCAACAACTAGTTAAATATTTATCCCTTGCTCATAATATACTGGCGGCTGTAGCTTCTCATCCAGCATGTGGTATGTCCGACTTTGCCTGACCCAATTATATTCAGTAATTTCCTAAGATTTTTGTGTGATTAATAGTTTAAACTATTTGATATGGGAGTGAGTTTTTTTTAATGCTGGACAATTTCGGGGATCCTTGTTGTAAAACGATAAGCTGTATTGGGTTTGTTACAGTGTCTGGTAGGATGAGTCTGAATAAAGGCCTTGATGGGCAATCACGACTAGCACAAGATCAAAGTTAGTAAAAGGTTCCCGACTACCATCCGAAATTAAATACAATTTACATGAATAGTTGGCCAGTTGTATCAGTAGCCATACCATATTCTTTATTGATGTGATTCGACAATTTGACTGTCCGTTGACCAATTTGGATACATTAAATCCCTTCTGTCTATTCTCTCTAGTATAGTCTTCGTTCCATTATGGCTAAATAGGCGTGTTTCTCCGCTTTCTTAACGCGATTTCTCCGTTTCTTTCACTTCATAAGTATGCTGAAAATTAAAATTCATAAAGGGAACCAATATGCTGGAAATTATAGCTTTACTCATATTTGAACTATTCAACTATCTTTCTTGATAGTACTTATCAGTAAAAAGGGAAATTTTCATTCTGTTTCATCTTTGGCCTTTTTATTGTTTTGAAATCAAACCAAATAAATAAAGTGGATTATTAATAATAATGAAAGCATGGCGTTCTGCTCTTTGTGTACAACAAATGACCATACTCACTATAGATTTTAAAGTCACTTCAACAAATTTGTTTAGTTTATTAATTTTTAGTATCATTTCTCTTATTATCTATTTTATTTGAACAAAATGGAAAATAAATTTAACAAATAGATATTAAACTATGAGCTATTTTTTAGATTTTCAACTACAGTTAGTATAAAAATCATTATGGTGTTTCACAGTTACGTTTTAAGTTTACATCGAACCTCACGATTATTGTGAAGTGTTGTAATATTTACAGTTTGTATTACTTTAGGTCGTATTGATACTCGGACTCAAAAATATTTAAAGATGAGTTGCGTCCTTATCGACTACATGGTTTTGGTGACTTCTAAAAGGCATCTAGGAAGCGCTCTATACAATCACTGTCCGGTTGAAAATTGTATGTTACCACCGAATACGAGAACTGAAGCAGTTTTTCTGAAAGCACGTGCACCATTCAAACTGGCTGCCTTCAACGTTTGCACATTTATGCAGGTCGGACAACAGATAGGGCTGGCTATGTCTTTGGAAAGTCTTAATATTGATGTTTGTTGTCTATCCGAGACCCGTATTCAAGACTCTGGCGAAGTACTACAAATTCGCTCGGTGTCGGTGTCGCACTAAGCGCTAGAGCTGAGGCAGCACTAGTCGATTGGATCCCCATTAACAGTCGGTTATGTGCTGTTAGATTAGAAAGTTCCATCAAAGTGAGAAGAAATCGGCGTGAGAAACGATGTCTTTTCGTCATCTCCGCCTATGCCCCGACAGATTGCAGCCCGGATGCAATCAAGGATGAGTTTTACCACCAGTTATCAGTTCTTCTCCAGAAAGTGCGTTCGACAGATATTGTAGTACTAGCCGGAGACTTGAATGCTCAGGTCGGGCGTCTAGGCACAGAAGAGAGTCGTTTAGGTGGCCGATGGGGACTCGTTGGTCGCAGGTCAGATAACGGGGACCGTCTACTGCAACTTTGCACAGACCACAACCTGTTTCTGGCTAGCACTAACTTTCGGCACAGTCATCGCCGATGTGCCACCTGGCGTCCTCCCTCTGCATCTCAAGCCTGGACTCAGATTGATCACATCGCGATCAGCTACCGCTGGCGTGGTTGTGTACAAGACTGCCGCTCCTTTTGGAGTACCTATCTGGACTCTGACCATGCCTTGGTCTGCGCCAATCTTGCCTTACTTTTCAGTGGACAACGAAGTGAACGCCATCAACGGATTGATGTTAGCAAGCTGGTTGCAACTTCTGTTGCAAGTAAGTATCGAACCGAGCTAGCCTCTAGGCTAGCTACCACTCCACCGAAAAGTATAGATGAGCATTGGTTGCAATTGCATGACGCCATGAAAATGGCGGGAACAGTCAGTTGTGGGTTTGCGAAACGTCCCGCTTTTAAGCACTGGGTTTCTTCTGGTTCCTTACAACTCATTGAAGCCCGTCGGTCTACTCCGGGTGACCGTGAGTTTGACCATAAACGAAGGATGTTACGTAAGGAAATTGGGCAAAGCTTGCGTAAGGACCGAGAAGCCTGGTGGTCGATGCGTGCTAATGAGCTGGAAGCAGCAGCTGCATCTGGTAACTACCGGAAGCTCTTCCAGCTCATCCGAGCCACTGGCAGCAAGAAGTCTGGTGTGAGTGAAACAATCTGCGAGGATGATGGGATGCCAATCACTAACATCCATCGACGTCTTGGACGATGGGCAGAATTTTTCGAAGG